AGATGAAAGCAAAAATTACCCCCAAATCCATTATAAAGAGATATTAACCACTGTCAACATTTAGACCCAACACACCATATTCTTATAAAACATGTGATCATACCATTCATGTTATCTCACAAGCTTCATTTTAAAAAAACATCTTAAGATTGCATTGAGGATAGTTTTCCATTCAATACATATATGTATTCACTGTCACATTAACTCCTGCAGTGTTTAGTCATATTTAACCAATCCCTGTCATATTTTCAGTTTGTCAGTATTGTATATGTGCAGTTTATATTTTGGTGACTGGGGGCAGAGATTTGAAGAGAGTGGATTTAAAATCATCGAAGTAGAAGGCTAGGATGTGAGCTGACTAGAGAAATGCTTGGCATGTTTTTTGCTAATGTGCCCCTAAAAGAATTTTGAAAAGCTTTGTATGCTTTCATATTTAAAAAGCTGATATGCATAATTTTTATTAAATTTAAATATGTATAAAGTTCATCATTTCTGGCAAATCGTAGATATATACAAGTAAAATTGAACTGTGACATTACATATAAAAATATTTTTTTATTATTAAAGTTACAGATTATGTACAATATTACATTAGTTTCAGGTGTACAAGCCAGTGATTAGACATATAGTATATATAACTTACAAAGTGATGAATTGATAAATCTAGTACCCATTGATACCATACATAGTTGTCACAATAGTATTGACTATATTCTCTATGTTGTATTGTACTTTACATCCTCATGACTATTCCGCAATTACCAACTTGTACTTTTTAATCTCTTTACCTTTTTCACTCATTCTCCCAATCTCCCTTCCATCTGGCAACTGCCAAAATGTTCTCTGTATCTCTGAGTCTGTTCTGATCTGCTTGTTTCTTTATTTTGCTTTTTTTCAGATTCTACATTCGAATGAAATCATATGACATTTGTCTGTCTCTGTCTGACTTTTTTCACTCAACACAATACCCTCTAGGTCCATCCACATTATTCTAGATGTCAAAAGTTTATTCTTTTTTTAATGCCTAAGTCATACTTCATTGCATATATGCACCACTTTTTTATCTATTCATCTGTTAATGTACACTCTGACATTATTTTTTAAATGTACTTAATGGAGTGAAAATGTTATGATTTTATATCTACCTTAAACTATTCTAAAAATTGTGAGCTTACCTGTCTTTAATGATCTAAAATGCTATATAGTACTTTCTGTTCTTGAATTACTAGTTATATTCTACTTTCCTTACAGAGTTGTGCTAATACAATCTAGTTTTATTGATCAACCAGTGCAATAAAATTGTGTACATAAATTTAAATGTTTAAAATTTCCCCAGTCTATGAGGAAATTTAAAAAAATATATTATACATTTGAAAGATAATTTGTTAAATGTGAAATTAAAGTCTGTTTTATTTTTCTCCAACTAGATAAATATATCCATAGATGAGTGTTACTTGGTAGAATGAATAAAATACAAGCACCATTATTTTTTCTCATTTTTTATTTTTATAGAAGTAAATGCTGAGAATTATTTTCACATAAATCAAAGATGAGGGTGGTAGGAGTTTCTTATAGCAATCTCTCTATTTTTTGAACTCCTTATGACTTATTTAATAACAATTGTATATTAATCTACCATAAAAATATTTTAATAATCTGTCAGTGGATGAGCAATTAGGTCTCCTATAAGTTTTCTTTAAAGTAAAGATCAGAGTGCTAGAGAAATATCTTTGGGTGTCAGGCACAGGCATTGGTAGGAACACAGTTGAGCTTAATGCTTGGTTATTCCATGTATCATGTGCCGCTGAGAGAAGGAGACAGTTGCTTGTAGTTAGAGTTGAACTTTCATCAGATATATGTTGACTAAAAGTGATAAGCAGTATGAAGTAATACATGCTAGAATTCAAGCTGTACAAGGGAAATACTGAAAGAAGACTGCTAATGGATTGAGAAGAAGCGGAGAGGAGAGGGTAAAGGGAGGGCTTTTTAAGGTGGAAGATTGGTTGGAGTTGAAGTGCCAAACAAGTAGAAGAAGAAATTGTGATCAGACATGTGAACTGGGAGTTCTGGAGGTGGGGCAGTTATAACGTGAAGTTCATGGAAATAGCAGGCCATGGTGTCAAAAGGGTTGTCCATGTTGATATTATAAGGAAGAAAGGGCTTAAAGAAAGGATGTGAGGTAGGTGTCAACAGGTTTGAACAATGAGAGAAAGGTTGGTAAAGGAGGACAACAAAAAGAAGCAAAAGATTCTCTTGAAAGTTGAAGGTTCCATCTTTATTTACAAGGAGCTGCAAGATAAATGTCTTGGAAATGGCCATGGTGACTATGGGATGCACCAAACTCATTGCCTGAACCTGACGTATGAATACCTGCCATTTGAGAAGCATTATGGAAGCCATGTCCTCAGGGTAGAGCCCCAGCTATTAGGAGGGAGAAACTCAGAACGTGCATTGAAGACAGAGGGGAGTTTGCTACTTTGGAAGGGCAGAAACAGAAGGTCACAGTGAAGGGTTTTGGTAAGTGGAAAGTAGTGGGAGCTCAATCAGGGACAAGGAAGGACAGAGCTTTAGTGAAAATAATGATACGGATCAAGATCCTTCGTGTTTATGTGAGGAGCAGGTGAATTCTAGCTTGAACGTCAGCTGAAGATAACAGAAAAGAGAGTGGGTGGGTTTATTCTAGTGGTCTTTAAGGAGTTGGGTTCTTGCCTAACTAATAAAAATCTGCTGTAAATTGATAGAAGGTATGTCTTGTTTGGTTAGAATAATTGACGCTTACAGGTTGCAGACATTCTAAATTATTATTTTAATTACTTTTTATTGCCAGTATATCATTGGGATTGTTTTTGCATCTATTTTATTAAATAACAAATAACATTGGCTTGTAATTTTTGCTCTCTGTTTGCATGTATGTGTTTATGAATGTGTTGTGTGTACTTTGTCAGGTTTTATATGAGGATTATGCTAGCTTTGTAAAAATGGAGAGGTGTCTACTCTTTACCATGCCTTGGGACTCTTTACCCTGCACAGATATTATCTGTTTTTTGTAAGCTGGAAAGAAATTAGCTAAGAAATTCTCTGAATGTGTGCTGTCCATTGCAGTACATTAAGCACTTGAAATGTGGCAAGACTATGAATTAAAGTTTTTAATTTTTTAGTTTCTTGTTTTTTATTTTAAATTTAATTTTCCATTTAAGAATTGATATTCATGTCAGTTTTGGAAACCTTTTAAGTGCTTTTGGATCAATTGGGGTATGTGAATCTACTTTTTATAAATTATATAAAATCTAAGTATACATATAAAATATTTCTGATGAAAATTTAGTTATCTAATTGAAATATACTTTAAATGCAAGTGCAAAATACACCCAGGAATTTAAAAACTAAATACTCCCACCAAAATAAAATTAATAACTTTATTTTTATTCATGTCAACATGATAATTGTTTATCATGGCCACCTATGTTGTTAAATAAAACATTTTAAAATTAATTTTACCTGTTTTGTCTCAAACATTTAGTGTAGCTATTAGAAAAGTTAAAGTTACATGTGCATTTGTGAAGGACATTATATTTCTATTAGGCAGCATGGTTCTGAACCATACAATTTCCTAAAGAGTTAGTAAAACTTCTCAGTTTCTTCTAAAATTAGTTCATTCAGTTTTCCTACCTCTCTAGAATATATTTTGATCATTTATATTTTTCTCAAAGTCATTTATTGCAAATATATTTTCAAATGTGGAAATATCATGTTTTACAAATATTTTATTATTGATTAATTGCTTTAATAGTATATCAGTCCTGAATTATAGTAATCATTTTTTGTGGGTTTTGATTAATTTTGTGTCTGCTTTGATATTTATGTATTTGAATGTATTTTTTGAATCATCAAGTTACTTTTCCTTATTTGTAGAAATTACATATTCATTGTCTCTTCTAAAAATATTCTAATTTTTAAGAAAGTGTATCTTTAATGAATAAGGAAGTTAAGGTTTATTTTATTTTAGTTTTACAAATTATTTTTTGCAGTATATTGCCTTACTTCTAATTAATTAGATACATTTTATCTACAGTTTTTTTTTTAGCATTTCATGTTCCATGAATTTTTTTTCTTACAGTATTGCATTTAAAAACGAAACGAGGTATTTCCTTTTTGCCCTGTCTTGCTTTGCAAGCCATTTTTTATAGAGAAAGCAATCACATTATACTTAAAAAATTATCAGGATCAGGTATAATGTATCTAGCATTTAATATACTCCAAAGGTCTGCTAACTTCTTTACTGAAATGATCGCAAGGCCTCACAATAGCCTTGTGAAGTATGTACTAGTATTACCCTGTTTGCAGAGGGGGAACCAGACCAAGAGAGATTAAGAGACCCATCCAGGTTTCCAACCTTCAGCCCATGGGCTTCAGACTTCACAAATCTAACAGGAGCAATTGCTATGTTCATGTCTGAGACATAGTACTAGAAGGATACTGCAGACGACTAGTATCAGAACATCAACCTAGTTCACGCTAAGACTCAATTGTCAGGCAACTATGAGCAATTATTAGTGTTAATAAATTACCCCATGATGCACTACTGCAGCACTCTGAACTTGAGTTTCCCATAATAGCCTAACAAAAATCTTTTTGTCCTCTGCAGTGAGGTATACTTTCTATAAACAATTGTTTTCTTCAATCATTTTCAGGGGTGGGGAAGAAATAAATATTAATTAGCCATTTAAAACACCCTGTATCTTCAAATTAGAATTTTTGAAGTCCTACTTATATCTACAGAATGGTAGAAAAGGAGAAATAACGTGCAATTTACTTTGCTGGGCAGCCAAAAGCAAACAACTGCTTTTGCCTTTAAACTCAGTCACATTTGATATCAAATATCTTTTAAAATTAACTCAGCTACAGTATAGTCTCTTTTAAAAAGAGTTATGTATTTAGTAGCAATGAGTGACTATGTATGGTTCATTAATTTGTGATTCTTTCCTTCCTTTCTTTTAAAGATAGTGTTTTTAGAAGAAGCATCTCAACAAGAAAAGCTGGCCAAAGAATGGGGCTTCAAGCCGTGTGATATAAGAGAACTGAGCCGCCAGTAAGTCATTGCCAACTTCTTCCCCTTTGTGGATGCCATTAACTGGTATCAAATGATAAGAAATCTGCCTTGAGAGACAGAGAGGCTTTGTGAATTTTTTAAGGTGTGAGGTGTGAAGGAGGAGATAGATAAAGACAGGAAGCTGAAGGACAGGATAGAAGTTTTGAGTACTAGAAGCTGCCTTCTTTCACTTAATCCTTCAGCAAATATTTGTTAAGCTTAGTATATACACAGACTAGGATCTGGGGGGTGAAAATTGTTTACTAAGTCTTTGCCCTCGCAGAGTTTATAGCCCCTGGGGAACGCAGAGAGTAAACAAGTGCACAGATACGTAAGTGTGACAGTGATGGGTGGTGTACTTTCTGTAGAGTAAATAAAGAAAGCACAGTAGAGATAATTGTTGGGAGGGTAGGAGGGCACTTTGGGGAGCAATCGCTCTGATAGCATGGTTAGTTAGGTAAGACCTATTTCCAAAAGTGCATTTGAGGTGTGATTTTATGTTCCAAGTGCTTTTAGTAGTTTTTTAAATAATTTATTCAAAATATGTTTCTTGTGGTTGACTCACCAGATCCTGCTAGAAACAATTCTGTCTTGAGGGCAGCCCCTGACCAGTCCCTCATATACTGTGATGTAGGTCTGTTCTGAGGGTTAACCCCACCTGTGAACAGGTGTTTTCTGTCATTTTGTTCTCTAGATCACTGTACCATCCTCTGCTTTATCCAACCTGCTATTGATATCTTCTAGTGGGTTCATTTCAGATTTTTGTTCCACTTCTTGGAATATACTCAAAGGAACCCAAAACACTGTTTTGAAAGAATATTCATACCCCTATGCTCATTGCAGTGCTATTTATAGTAGCCAAGATTTGGAAGCAGCCCAAGTGGCTATCAATAGATGAGTGGCTAAGAAAGCCCTGGTACATTTATTTACACAATGGAATACTATGTAGCTGTTAAAAAGAAGGACACCTTACCTTTGGCGACTCATGGATGGATCAAGAGAGTATTATGCTAAGTGAAATAAGCCAGTCAAAGAAAGACAAATACCATATGATTTCACTTATATGTGGAATCTAATTAACAAAATAAACACATAGAAACAAACTGATATAGAGAAAAGATTGACAGCTGTCAATAGGAAGAGTGGTTAAGGGACTAGGCAAAATAGGTGAAGAAATTAAGCAAAAAAGTAAAAAATAAAACAAGCTCATAGACACAGACAACAGTATAGTGATTACCAGGGAGAAAGGGGGGTAGAGAGAGGTAGAAGAGGATAAACAGGAGACAAATGTTGATAGGAGATTAAACTCGAGGTGGTGAACACACAATACAATATACAGGTGGTGTATTATAGAATTATACACTTAAAACTGCAATAAATTCAATTAAAAAAGTAAGCGACACAAATAAACCTTGTTGTGTCCAACTGCTAAAGAGGCGGAAAAGGAGGGGAATGCTGAAGGTTTAGTTCTGTTCTTCCCTCTGCAGAAACCTGTGGCACCACCAGGTTCTAGGCTTCCCTACACAGAGGAGATTCTCAAATCCGAATCCTACCTTTAACTCTTCTGTGACCTCTTAGCTCACATTTCCAATTGCTTTTAAAAAACTTGACTCTAGGTTTAATATGACATCACCATTCCCTCAAATGAAATTTTCTTCTAAATTCTTTGATTTTATGTCATATGTTCAGCCTCCCATGCTCAAAACTTACTCTCTTTGACTCATTTCTCTCCTTTGCTTCCTAATTAAAAATCAAGTTCTTTCTCTTATATTCATCCTTTTCCTTTTTTTCTGTCACCATAATCTCTATTAAAAAATCTCATGTTTCAGAGATTAAAAGAGTCTTTTCACACATGCCCGCCACCATCAGATCCTTTAAACCAGATGTTTAATATGTTACAGTTCTGCCAAAGAAAATAAAAAAATAGAGAAATGCATGTCCTCATGATTCTCTTACTGTTGGCTATAGAATAACAAATATAGGTTGATTTACTAACTTGAGTATTCAAGACCCTTTCTAAAAAATCTTTTTTATTGTTATTATTTAGAAAACATTTAATATAGTAAAATGCATAGGTCTTAGGTATATAATTTAATAAAGGTTTATAAATATATACCTATGTAGCCAACATGCCAATCAAGATTCCTCTCATCCTAGAAAGTTGCTTTGTGCCCCTCCTACTCATGCTCCAGCCCCACAGGCAACCCCTGACTGGTCTCTGTCATGTAGATTACTTCTATTTGGTTTTGAATGTCATGTAAATGGAATAACTCAATACGTGCTCTTTTGTGTCTGGACTTTCCCACCCGTCATAATGTTTCTGAGATGCATTCATACTGTTCTGTATAGCAGTAAGTAGTTCATTCTTTTTCATTGCTCAATAATATTCCATTGTATTAATATACCAAAGTTTATCCATTTTCCTGTGGTATTTAGATTGTTTCCAATTTGAAGCTGCTATGAACATTCTTTTTTTTTTTTTGCTTTTTTATTTCATTTGGGTAAATTACTAAGCATGAAATTGCTCACTTAAACTCTTTATACTTTGACCACTATATGTATCTCTTTTTTTATACCTCCTATCTCTCTCTCTCACCCCCGCCTCTCTCTCTCTCTCTCTCTCTCTCACACACACACACACACACACACACACACACACACACACACACGGCCTTACTCACCCCTAATCTCCTAACTAGGTTATATTATAATCTCTTTGAGGGCAACAAGATGCCTTATTTCTCTAAAAACTCCACAAAGCTTAGTAAAGATTTTAAAACATATTAGGAACTCAGGAAATAATATTTGATTGGACAATTCAAGTGTATGAAGAAGTCACACTTCCATTCCATTTTATGGTGGTAGAGACAGTAAATGACACAAGGATCGAAGAGGCCAGTGAATCTGCGTTTCCCCCTCTCCCTCTGCATGCCCCCTCAGCACTGCCTTCTTGTCTTGCTTACAGGTTGTCACTGCTCTTCACTTCTAAAGTGAATGAACAGTTCTGACACATGGAGGGAAATGACCAAGGGTCCTGAGTCACTGACAACTGCCATGGTTTGAATCTAGTTGACTAGATGAATAATTACTTTTTTCAAACTACTTAAATCTCCTGAGTTGCAGTTCACTCTTATATAAATAAGATAACAATATTACTTCATAGATTTGTTGTGACTATTACATCATCATCACAACTAATATTTTTGGGGTGTTTTCCATCCTCTAAGTGCTGTTTTTATGCATGCCAACTCAATCCTCACAACAGCCCTGGCACTCCTATTTCCATCTGACACAGGGGAAACTGAACCACAGAGAGATTAAATTACATGTTGAATATCCCACTGCTGGTTTATGGTGGGGCATGGATTCAAAATCAGGCAGCCTGAGTCAAGAATGTATATAACAAACCCCTGTAAGGAACAAATAAGATGATGCACGCAGAATGCTGTGCCCAGTGTCCAGTACACGTACATTTTCAGTAAACATTACCTGTTGTCACCATCATCATCATTATTATTGTTATCATTCCCAGTTATCATTTCTTAAAATAAAGCATTTATAGATACCCATGTCTTTATTAGTTTTCCACTGAGGTGGTATACATTTGAATTGGTAGTATAAGGGATTTTTTGGTTAGGTCATTTTAAGTTCAAATTCTTTATGTATATAAAATATAATATTTATTTGGGGTGTTGGTGGTATATAGTATCTTTTAACAAATACCTGTTTTGATGACATTAAACACAATACATACCGATGAACAGAAGAAATAGTTCTTTCAAAAAGCTTTAAATACTTTTTAGCTCTGGGCTACCTCAATTCTGCGGGTAGTGCCTCTGAAAACTCGTAGAAACATCTTTCCAGGCCTTTTTGTTAGAAGAGTCATAGAAATGTAAAGATTAATTGGTGGATCAGGGTAACAGCAGGAGTGATCAGAAGCACCGGGCATTGCAATGGTATCTTCACGTCTCCTCTCCGGTTATCCTTAGTGGCTCGTGTCTAATTCCTCAGCATGGCTCTAGAAAATTTGAAGACCTCCTCTCTCATCTTTTTTTCCCTGTCTTACAACCCTAATTTGTGAGAACAAAGTCATAGAATGAAAGCATCGCTTCACTCCTTCCTTGTGCTCTGACTGCTTTGCTTCTGACCAGTACCGTGCTTTTCCCTCCCTTCTTTATCTGTGGTTGACCTCTCACCAGCCATTCCAAGTTAGGAGCTATGTCTTTCAGAGTTTCATTGCAATTTCTTGATCTCTCAATAAGAGGAGAACTTGCTCATCTGATGGCTTCAGCTCTAAACCTATGTGGGGTGAACAGTTCAATCATTGCCCAAGAGGAAGCATGATTTAAAGATATAGAAAATGCCTAAGGATGCTATTTCTCTCATCTTCATTTTCAGTGAGTTCTTCATGCCCGGGCTGGTTGATGCACATATCCATGCCCCTCAGTATTACTTTGCTGGAAGTCATATGGACCTGCAGCTTCTGGAGTGGCTGACCAAGTATACGTTTCCTACAGAACTCAAATTCAAGAGCATTGACTTTGCAGAAGAAGTATACACTAGAGTTGTCGTGAGTATCCTGCATGTGAGACTCGGTGTACTATCTTTGGTAGCCTGTAGAAACATTAATTTCTTGGGGCAAAATTTAAGTGTAAAACACAGACAGTCAAGGCTAGAGTGGACTATTGAGATTTTCTCAGTCTTTCATAGCCCAGTGAGTTTGTGACCACCTCACTACACAGCTTGTCACTAGCAAGGAGAGCACTTGAGTTCGAATTTCCAAACTCCCAATCTGGTGGGCTCTCATGACTCTCTGTCTTTTACTTTTTGTGTTTTACTTTACTAAATTTGTATTTAATGCATATGTGTGTTCTCTTACTCCTGTTAATCCACAACACTGTTCTGGGGACCATATGGAATAGCTGCACAACCTTTGGAAAGTTCTGCAACTCGTTTTCCCCATCTGTAAAAAAAATAGAGATAATGATTGTGCCTATTTCACAGGATTGTTGTAAGAATCAGGCAAGTTAATATTTGTTAGGTTCTTAGAATAGTGCTTGACATATGGTAAGCACTCTATGTGTTTGCTTTAAAAAATACCCAAGGAAGTGTAAAATTAAAAATTTAAATTACAATCATAAGGATGTCATGCTATTTTGGTAGTTTCACAAGGAGGGAAAATAGGATGTTTCCATTACTGGGCATATGGGAATGTGACCAGCATTGTCACCACTAGAGGGAACTATGAGGCTAGTTCCGCCACTGAAGGGTGTCTGTAGTAGGTGCCAGCCCTTCTTTGAAGGCTATGAAAATGTCCTTCCATCTCACTCTCTCAGAAAATCATTTCCAGCCTTTCCATACCAACCCTCTGCGCAATCCATTTAGCAACCAGAATTAAAGTTGCAAATACCTTCGTATCTGACCACTACCTCTGGACACTCTGTCTGAATATTCCTGCATTTTTGTTGGACCCCATTGATGAATTTTCTCCTAAAGTGATGGCTATGTGAGGATGACACTATTATAAGCCACATTTCATGACCAGTTATCCTGCCAGTTCCCTTGTCTTACATCACTCAAGCCTTAAAGAATAAAAACAAGTGCTATCATTTAGACACTTGCCTCACTTAATTACACGTTCAATGTAATTGTGGATCTTACATACTTAACATGTGTCCTCATGACACCGGAAAGACAGAGAAGGACTAAAGCTGTGTGTGGAGTTGCCAGTGCATTGTGTTAATGAATTGTGTTAACCACACCAAATCTTTTATTTTCAAACTTTATTAGTACCTTGCATTATTCTAAAAATGGTTTGAGATATCTTAAAATTGCATAGTACCCAACAAAAGAAAATGAGTCACAAAATCATGGTAAAGGAGAAAAGAATGGAGGAAAAATAAAATAACACCAAGAGGTAAATGTATGCCATGGTTTTTATCACAAATTTGGCTTTAAGTGTCTAGCAGCTGACCCACAGAGGGAAATCAGTTTTGAATTCTACACTGTCTGTGTGGTTTAAAAATCACACAGTGATTGTTAATCAGAGTCAGACAGTGATTGTTAAGGGAAATGAAGCATATCTATTTTTCATACTGAAATTTAAGAAAATTATACACAATATTCCAATATATTCCAATATATAGCTACATGCTATATATTGTCAAAATCCATATATTGTCAAGGTGCTATAGTATCAAAAAGTCCAGATATACCAGTGTTGTATGTTTAGAGAGAGTATCTAGAACTATGTGGTTTTGGGGCCATACTCCTTAAGTTGTATTTCTTAAGTCAGGGATTTGGGTAAGACTTTGATATCGGTGAGTACAAAATAGGTGTTATTCTCAACAAGTATTTGCAGTTCATGCAGCCAGTGTTTCTGATTATGGGCAGGACCACACACTGTAAGAACTGCATGGGCCAAGGGTGTGGCTGACAGCTGTGTAAAAATTAAGATTTGTTAACTAGAATGTGTCCTTCAGCTGAAGACTGTGCCTGGCAATGCATAGGGGTGCTATGCTAAGGCAGTACTCATGAATATTATCAAGACAGTTTTTTTTTATTTCCTCCCTCAGAAAACAGTTCTAGATCTATATTTTAACAAATGGGCAATCAAGACCACAGAGTTTTACACCGTAGATTTTGTCAACTATGGGTAGTATTTCTACTGTCCTCATTGCTAAATAGCTGAAATTTCCCATTTAGATTCATGTTCAAGGCCAGGTTTTAGAAAGGTATTTAAATTTTTTAAAATTTAGAAAATGTCTAATTATATTTCCATTTGAATTTGGAGTTTATTTTACTCTGGTTAGTGAATGTAATTTTTATGACTATTTTTCTTGGCAATTAATTCACTGTTAGTGTATGACACAATTAAAGGTCAATTTTTATGGATGTTTGCAATGACACTTTTTACGTCTCTGTTAGACTAAGTTGTAGACGTATTAAGCAAGTCTTCTATCATTTTTCTCTATATCTCTCATATAATGAGACAAGAATCTTACATACTCTTCCCTTCTCATGTTATAGCCCCCTTGCCACGTCCTATGATATAGCATCTGAGATTTTAGCTTTAGTTTATTATGTACTACCTCCACTTCATTTAACATAAGTAAGTTTTGATGTTTAAATTTAATATTTTAAAATTCATTTTATTTAATTCCAGTTTATTATTTTCAACACCTGCACTTACTTTAACAATGAGTTTTTACCTTTTTAAATATATTTTATTGATTATGCTATTTGGTTGTCCTAATTTTTCCCCCTTTGCCCGCCTCCACTTGGCACCCTCATTCCCTCCAGGAATTCCCCCCACCTAGTTCGTGTCCATGGGTCGTGCATATAAGTTCTTTGGCTACTCCATTTCCTATACTATTCTTAACATCCGCCTGCCCATTCTGTAACTACAGTTTGTACTTCTTATTCCCTGCATGTTTTCCCTCATTCCTTCCTTTTACCTTCCCAACTGATAACCCCTCAAAATGATCTCCATACCTGTGATTCTGTTTCTATTCTTCTTGTTTGCTTAGTTTGTTTCTTACATTTAATTATTGATAGGTGTGAAATTATTGCCATTTTAATGTTCATAGTTTTGATCTTCTTTTTCTTAAATAAGTCCCTTTAATATTTCATGTAATAATGACTTGGTGATGATGAACTCCTTTAATTTTACCTTGTCTGGGAAGCACTTTATCTTCCCTTCAATTCTAAATCATAGTTTTGCTGAATAGAGTAATCTTGGTTGTAGGTCCTTGCTTTTCATCACTTTAAATACTTCTTGCCAGTCTCTTATAGACTGCAAAGTTGCTTTTGAGAAATCAGCTGATAATCTTACAGGAACTCCTTTGTAGTTAATTGTCTGCTTTTCTCTTGCTGCTTTTAAGATTCTCTCTTTATCTTTAACCTTTGAGGTTTTAATTATGTTGTGTCTTGGTGCGGTCCTCTTTGTGCCCATCTTGTTTGGGCCTCTCCATGATTCCTGGACTTGTATGTCTATTTCCTTCCACAATTTATGGAAGTTTTTCTTCATTATATTTTCCAAATAAATTTTCAATTTCTTGTTCTTTCTCTTCTCCTTCCAGCAGCCCTGTGATTCAAATGGTATGTTTGAAGTTGTCCCAGAGGTTCCTTAAAGTATCCTTGTTTTTTTGGATTCTCTTTTCTTCTTGCTGCTCTGATTGAATTTTTTTTTCTTATGTTCCAAATAATTGATTTGATTCTCAGGTCCATCCACTGGTAGTTTCTTGTAAATTTTTCTTTAGTTCATTTATTGCAAACTTCATTTCTGCCTGGGTCTTTTTTTATGTTGTTGAATACTCAATGAGTTCCTTAAGCATCCTGATAGCCAGCGTTTTGAACTCTGCGTCTGATAGATTGTTTACCTCCTTATTGTTCAGTTCTTTTTCTGGGGTTTTGTTCTATTCTTTTATTTGGACCATATTTATTTGTCTGCTCATTTTTGGCAGCCTCCCTGTGTTTGTTTCTATGTATTAGGCAGAGCTGCTACTCCCTTAGTAGCATGGCCTATTGTAGAAAAACACACCAGTAAGTTGAATGGGACAGAGCCATAGGCAATCCCCAGTGAGGGGCAGCCTGTATGAACCAGGTTGATGGAATGTCTGATATTGTGTTCCTAATCTGTGTTCTGTGTGTGGAGAAGGGCTCAGAAAGGGGACTATGCCACTGCCTGGCCTCCGGAGTTTGGTCTAGGAGGAAGCTGTCCTCCAGTACTTTCCCTGATGCTAGATACTTCAGATTCTCCCCGTATTCCACTGGTGTTCTTCCAGATACTTCCCCAGTGCTGGAGCCCAGAGCAAGTGAGTCTAAGCTCTAAGTCACTGAAGTCCCTTTAAGAGGAGACTTCAGAGAATCCCACAGTTTCTTCAGCTGCCCCAACCCCCACTGGTTTTTGCAGCCTGAAGTTATGGGGACTTACCTTCCCAGCACTGGAACCTGGGCTGGGCGGTCTCGTGTTGGGCTGAGGTCTTTCGTTCCTGAGGTAGTCTGCCAATTTTTACCCACCATTTTTGGGTGTGGGACTGCTCATTCTGCATCTCTACATCTCCATGTGTATCCAAGCATCTTGGCATCTCCCCCTTCCTACCCATCTGGATGAATGTGACTTCTTTAATTTTTTGGTTGCCAGATTTCCATACTCTTCAATTTTCTGATGATTCTGGGTGATAGGTGTTTTGTATTTTAGTTGCAATTTTTACTGTGGTTGAGTAAGGAGGTGAGCCATGTTTACCTATGCATCCATCTTGACCAGAAGTCTCCTTTGAGTTTTTTTTGTTGTTGTTAGCTATTTGGATCCCTTTCTTTTAGATTAATTCTTTATTTTCTTGGAATATATCTCTGATAATTCTTTTTCAGTAAAGTGGGTGATAAACATTTTAAATCCTTGAACTATCAAAAATGGTTTTACTTTCTTCTGACTCTGAAATGATGTGCTTTTATCATAGAAAAAAATTGTATTTGAAATACCCATCAGCATCCAATGTGCTGGTGTCAATCTGATTCTCACTCCATTCTGGCTAATTTGCTGGCCTTCAGGATACTCTGAAATTTCACTTATAGATTTTTTTTCAGTTCATTATCTTTAATATATAGTTTATTCAGTATGAGAACTCCTGTCTATCTTTCAATTAGGGAATTTCTCTTTCTCTGTGAATATATTTGTCCCTTCAATCTTTTCTTTTTTTGGTAACTCCTATCAGAAAAATGTTGAAACTTTTATATATACTTTTATATCTCATTTTTTCTTTTAAAAATAATTTCATTGAGATATAATTTATGTATCACAAACTCACTAATTTTAAGGCAACCATCACCACAATCCAGTTTTAGAAGATTTTTATTAGTCAAAAAAGTTTCTTTATGCCTATTGTATCACATTCTTCAAGAACACCATAGTCCAATTTTGCAAGTCACTGTTTCACTCTACTGTTATAATAGCCTGTCTTTTTTCAAGGACATCATGTCCAATTCTATTTATCTAAGAATACTAATTTTAGTTCATTTATATCTCTTGTTGCTTAGTCATTCAGCTTCCTTGGGTGTTCATTCAATAAATATTTACTGTGTACACAGGCTGTGGACACTTTAGGAGTCGCTGGAGATTGAATTTGATGTCTGTGTCATGGTATCAGCTTTCCTCCTGGACTTGTGGTTCTGAGAGACAGCTCATTCTTGTCTGTAGCTGACAGGTTCTAATCATCCTCTATTGGCAGCCAGATGCATTTTATTTCATGTGCAAAGTGTCTTAAAATTTGGAAAGATTGACATAAAATTCCAGCTTTTCAAATTCTCTTGTCCTTTGGGACTGACATCACTGGGCTCTCATTTTTTTTTTTTTCAACAATTGGCTGATGCAGAGTAGAGACTGCTGTCTGAGGTATGGGACATGTTCTTCCCTTATTTAAGATCAAAGTATTTTTCCCCTCAGGGATTCTCTTTAAATTTATTCTACAACCCTTCTATTGACTTCCCAACTTCACTTATAAAAGTTTTACTTTTGTAGAACTATTGTTCTTTGATTTTCATAGGATTCTGTTCTTGTCTTATGGCTGCAATATCTTCTTTACTCCTTTCAAAATGTTAATCACATTGTTTTTAATCTCACTTCTATCTGACCCTGTTTCCTCCAATATTTTTTCCAGAGCTTTTCCTTCTCCTCCTCCTTTTCACAGCAGCTTTTCTTCAGTGTCTGTTGAAGCTTGAGCATATGTTCATAATTAAGTTTGATACCCTAAGGTGTCAGTTGGAAGATCTGGGTGCAGGTAGTTCTTGTTTACTAGTGAACTTCAGTGTCAGAGAAACAGTGAAGGTAGTGAACAGCCTTTTCAATTGTGGGCCCCACTTGTCATTGTGAGGATGTCTTTCTTATAGAGTTACTCATCTTCTCTAGGTAAGAGTCCTTCAGTCCTGCCAGGAGTAGTGGGTGTAATACATGTGGCAATCTGGGCAAGCTGACTGAAGGACCCTGGAGATAAGCCAGATTTGCTCTTAAACCTCTTCTTTTCAGCCTGTGTTCCATCTCGTCCTTTGGGGATTTTATCCTCTAAGTACTATTCAATTTCTACAAAGAGTACATCTCTCTTTCAAGGAACAGATTAGGCGTGATTGGAGGAGGGTCCTGCCAGGGCCTCATCATCTATAGACAGACTTTGAGCCAATTCCCTGTTAACAAGACTTTCAGTCAAGATGGAGGCAAAGGTAGACACACTGTGTCTTCTCACACAACAAAAATAAGGACAACAAAAATTTAGAAACAAAAAAACAACGAGTAGTGACAGTTGAACTGTATGGAAGTCTGACAGACATCCAAGGAGTTAAAGAAGAAACATTCATGTAGACCAGTAGGAGGGACAGAGTTGGGCAGCTGGGTGCAGAAGGCTCATGGCAAAGTGGGGCTGGTGGACCCCAGGCGTGCAAGCTGGCAGCAGGTGGACCCAGTGAGGTGGTAGATTGTGGAGAGGCACAGTGGCTGGCATACCTGGCATTCCCACATTCACGCACAGATAAACCAGGTGAAATTGGGTAGTGAGACAGGCCATGCAACCCAGGGTCCCAGCTCAGGGAAATAAAGCTTCAAATCACCTATTGAAAACACCTGTGGGTGTTGAGATGCTGGGAGAGACTCCCAGCCTCACAGAAGAGTTTGTTGGAGAGACCCACAGGGTCCCAGGACACATACAAACCCACCCACATGGGAATCAGCACCAGAAGGGCCCATTTTGCTTGGGGATAGTGGTGGAAGTGACTGAAATCTGGCAGAGAGTGGAGCGAGTGCCTATTCCCTCTAGGACCTCTCCCCCACATACAGTGTCACAACCCAGCCCCTGGGTTGCCCCTCCCTGTTGAACACCTAAGGCTCCACCTCTCACTACCTAACAGGCATGTCAAAACAACAGCAACAAAAAAAATTGGCCCAAATGGAAGAACAGATCAAAGCTCTAGCGCAAATGCAACTAAGTGATAAAGAGATAGCCAGCCTATCAGATGCACAGTTCAAAGAACTGGTGAGCAGGGTGCTCATGGAACTGGTTGAATTTTATTGCAAATTAGATGAAAAAAATGAAGGCTATGCTAAGTGAAATAAAGGAAAATGTACAGCGAACCAATAGGGATAGGAAGGAAACAAAGACTAAAATCAATGGAGTGGACCAGAAGGAAGAAGAAACAACCAAACAGAAAAGAATGAAGAAACAAGAATTCAAAAAAAAAAAAATGAGGAGAGACTTAGGAACCTCCAGGACATCTTTAAGCGTTCCAATATCTAAATTATAGGGGTACCAGAAGGAGAAGAGGAAGAGCAACAAGTGGAAAAGTTATTTGAAGAAATAATAAAGGAGAACCTCCCCAATATGACAAAAGAAACAGACTTCCAGCATGTCCAGGAAGCTCAGAGAGTCCCAGAGAAGTTGGACCCAAGGAGAAACACACCAAGGCACATCATAATTACATTACCCAAGATTAAAATGAAGGAGAGAATCCTAGAAGGAGCAAGAGAAAAGGAGACAGTCACCTACAAAGAAGTTCCCATCAGATTGTCAGCTGATTTCTCAAAAGAAACCTTATAGGCAAGAAGGGGCTGGAAAGAAGTATTTGAAGTCATGATAGGCAAGGACTGCATCCAAGATTGCTCTCTCCAGCAAAGCTTTCATTTAGAATGAAAGGGCAGATTAAGTGCCTCTCAGATAAGGTCAAGTTCAAGGAGTTCATCATCACCAAGCCCTTATTATATGAAATGTTAAAGGGACTTATCTAAGAAAAAGGAGATCAAAAACATGTATAGTAAAATGACAGCAAACTCACAATTATTAACAACCACACCTAGAACAAAAACAAAACCAAACTACATAGACAGGTAGAGCAGAAAGAGAACCACAGAAATGGAGATCACATGGAGGGTTAGCAACAGGGAGGTGGGAGGAGGAGAGAGGGGGAGAAGGTACAGAGAATAAGTAGCATAGATGGTAGGTAGAAAATAGAGGGGGGGGGCAAGAATAGTATGGAAAATGTAGAAGCTAAAGAACTTATGACACAGACACATGAGTTCCTGTGGGGGAATGTGGGTGGGAGAGGGTATGCAGGGTGGAGGGGAGTGAAGGGGAACAACTGTAATAGCATAATCAATAAACTATATTTTTTAAAGAAATTCTCTGTTAACAACTGCATGCTTCTCTCTCTTTCTCCTCCTAAGTTGCACTTAGGTTCTCGTCCATATTCTTTGTCTTCCAAGGGGGATGTTGAAGTGTTTCTTCTGCTCATGTCTCTTCTTATATTCTTCTGTTGGGTAATAAATTTTGTACTTTTTTACTGTTATTTTAGTGGAAGTTTGCTCAGGAAGAGACAGAGATATATGTGACCAATCTGTCAGAATGAACTAGAAGTCTGGCTGAATTCTTTTATGCTGTAATAGACAGAAAAATCTCATTTATTCACTCCTATATGCAATAAATTTTGCATATGCTTACACAAACCTAAAAGATAAAGAATGAATTAGCAACACATTTTATGAATTCTGCAAAACAGAACTGTGCGAATCTAGGAAATGAAAAGTATCAACTTCTCCAGCTCACACTTTTCAAATGTCAGCACTGCCAGTTACCTTAACTCTATTTCAGACTGAGATGACTTACCTTTAAATAAAAACATTTTCAAATTAAAAAATAGAATTCTATTTTCATCTGTATACTCCATGTGACTTTCTTGGTACATGCGACTCATGGTTTTTGTGATTTATTTTTAGAGGAGAACGCTGAAGAATGGAACAACCACAGCTTGCTACTTTGCAACAATTTACACTGACTCATCTCTGCTCCTTGCGGAAATTACAGGTGAGGAGATGAAAGCATGATCTATGGGCACATCCAACAAAGCCAGCCAGACCATCTCTGGCAGTGAGTTATTCTTGTGGGCAGTCTTGGCGTTTAACTACTGGAATTTGAGCATTGCATTTCTTGCAAGTAATAAATGTCTATGTATTACTGTGGCCCCTGAATGTTTTTTTATTATTTAAGAATTTGATTATTTACTTACAGTTTTTTGGTTCCAGAATGATGTGTATTAATTAATCTAGGGCTTTTTGGAGTGGGTTTATTAATTCTAGTGATGGCCATAGTGTGTAATAGTCAACAGATATATCTTGGCTGTTGGTTAGGCTCACGGTACTGTGCAAATTTCCGGGAACAAAATGAAACAGAACATAGTTCCTGCCCATAAGCTGCCAGATAGGACTAATTGATTAGTAACTGCACACATTGATTAGTAACTTTAGGAACAGCTGTAGTGCTCTTACTAAGATGCCTGGCATCACGCAAAGCACTCTACATGGATTATGTCGGCTAAGTTGCAAACAGCCTTTTGCGGCAGCTATTACATCCTTGTGTTTCAAATGGATAAACCAATGCTCAGAAAGGTTATAAAATATGCCCAAGTCACACAGCTAATTAGCAGAGCTGGGACTTGAATTAGGTTGATGATTCTGAAACTTGTATACAATACAGTGCCTAGCATATAGCAGCTGCTCGGTAAATGCTGTTGGCTGATCTGATGACACCACTGCTTGCTAACCAAGGTCATTGATGCCAAAGGCCTGAATCATGATGCTGAAAATAACTATTGCTTTTTTTTTGGAGGAGACAGAGAACCCAGAACTGGAGCATCTAGGAAGACTTCCTGGAAGGGAAGAGATTTGAAAACTTGGCTTTGAAGGAAAGATAAAATGGAGAAAGGAAAATGTTCTCCAAACAGGGGAAATGTCATGAGGCAGGAATGTCTATAGTGGACACTGGAAGCAGGGAACAGAGTAGCTGAACCAGGGGGCAGGATTCATTGCATGGAGAGTGGGGTGGGGGTGGTGAACAGGTTGGGTAGATGGAATGCTTCAGACTGTAGAGAGAATACACATCAAAATGCATGTTCTCATTTTTGAATATATATCAAAAACTCAAAGAAGGTTTTGAGCTAGATGAAATATGTGATGAAGGTGGTGTTTTAAGAAAGAGTAATCTAATGGCCAATTATTAAAATGAATTACAGGGAAAGACAGAGGCAGAAAGACTTCTGTAAGATCCTTATAACAGAAGTGGAGACATTGAAAAAAGAACTAACAATGCCCAAAGTAAACTGACCTTTCTAACTGAAATAGAATTTCTCTAGAACTTCTAAAGAGGACTAGGTTCTTTAGTGCTAAATGCTGCTAGTAGGACTGAATACAATTTTTGTTACAGGTAATAAAATTGGCGTAGCTACAGTTAAGAATAGTGGCAATATCTTGTCTAAGCAGGTGCCTGATACCTTATGTACACTACAGGGTGTGTTCCTTCTAACCCTGCACATAGCACAGGACACTGGACACGTAGCCATTTAGACCTTAAACAAGTAATACCCACTACCCTGGAAGTAACAGAGGAAGAAAGAGTTAAGTTCAACCAGGGCTGTCAAACTCCAGTGCCTTTTTTCTTATCACTAGACCATGCTGCTGTTTCTATAAAATGCAAGAAAAGTATAGAGAGGGACTCAATACATGGGACAGTGGCAGGGTAGGAAATGGGAAGGAAATTGTGAGCCATGGACAAAAGAGAAGGAATGAAGAAGAAAAAGGTGTAGACATGTTGACTTGTCAACACTTGTCTACATGTCTACCTGACATGTTGAATAGAGTGTTTCACCAGGACCTGAGGCTTCCCCTCTTCATTTGATAATATGGGAACAAGGATAGTTATTACTTGAGTAAAAATGTAGACAACTTGTATAAGAAAAGGAAAAAGCTGAGTAATAAGTACAAAATACCCAATTATTGCCTGACCAGCCTGGAAGTGGGGGTGGAGGCAGCAGAGGTTGAAGCAATGGATGGAAGACTATTTATTACTTACAGTCTTAGTGGGGTTTCGTTGTTGTTATTCTTATTAATGGATCATCTTTAACATTCTCATCTATGTTTGCATAATGCTTTTAAGTTTTTAAAAGTCTCAGAAGAGGTACTGTGTGGGAAAGACACGTGACTTAAGATTCTTTTCGTGTGCCTCAGATAAATTTGGGCAGCGGGCATTTGTGGGCAAAGTCAACATGGATAGGAATGACACTTTTCCAGAGTATAAGGAAACCACTGAGGAATCAATCAAGGAAACAGAGAGGTACGTTCGTCTTGATTTGTCTGGAAGGCATCCCCTCCGCCGCACTGATGGAGCTGGAGACAGAGGAAACCTCTGCACCAGGCGAAATGTGCACAAATGTTGCAGTGTGGGTTTGCCTGCCTTCATGAAATCCACTGGGTCCTTTAAAAAAGTTGCATGCCAACACTATTTTTGTATACCAATTATAGTTTAAAGCTTCCGGGAACTTGTTATAGGAGTTCTAGGGTAAGCCCCTACGTAAATAGAGGGATTCTTTTTTGAAGTGAATGATTTACCCTCTGTATTATAGGCCTGGTCTTCTGCGTATTGGACTTGCTTTAAGTGTGTGTGTGGCCTACTCATTAAATTACAGTTGACCCTTGAACAACATGTATTTGAACTTTTTATCTTATGTTGGGATATTCTACTGATCCTATTGGTACTTTTTCTACATTTCTTTTTTTAAAGATTTTATTTATTAATCTTTAGAGGGGAAGGGAAGGAGAGATGGAGAGAAATATCAATGTAAGGTTGCCTCTCACAAGTCCCCTGCTGAGAACTGGCCTGCAACCCAGGCATGTGCCCTGACTGGGAATTGAACCATGATCCTTTGGTTTGCAGGCCTGTGCTCAATCCACTGAGCTGCACCAGCCAGGGCTCTATACTTCTTCTATGGCTCTTCCATAGTGCCTTAAGGATTTGACAAGGAATTGTGTTGTATGGCACTCAACACCCAAGAAATATACGTACGAGAAATTTCTTTAGATTTAAATATTCTCCAACTCCACATATATCCCAATGCAAATTTTAGAAGCCCCACTTTTCTTTATTTCCTGGGCTTCCTTCACCTGAATGTGCCCTCTGAACGGGAGACCAGGGGGCTCCCACCCGCTCTCAGGAATAAGAAAGCAACACCTTCCCCTTCCCCTTGATCATCAGCTCTACTTTTCTATGAATTTGTGTTTGTGGTCTTAGTAAACCTTAATTCGCATTTTATTCTGAAACAAGGGCACGTGGAAGGTAGGAAGCTCTAACTAGCAAACATTACCAGCCAGGGCGGAATTAGCCATTTTGTAGGCCATGCAGATACCACCACCCCTGCAGCTATCATTGGTAAGATCTCCACCCCCACCCCCATGCGTTTTGCACAACCAGCTCTGACCTTTTTCTTGTGCCTTACTCCAAATCCAGGTGGAGTAGGATGCTGCCTTGGGAATAAAGGAGGATATTGTGTGAGCAAGTAGCTTCCACTTAAGGGAAATCAGGAGCAGAGAGCCCCATGGCTTCTAAATGCTTCCAAGTGCCCAGGACTCCAGGAGTTTACTATCCCTGGAGCATAACATACCACAATATTCCCCCAAACCGAGAGCTCAGGCTGGGAGAATGGCATGAATGCTGTGGGAACCCTTGTAAACGGCCCAGCTGATGTTAGATGATAAAATTGTGCTTCCCTGTGATTTTGCGCTCCATCTCTGCGAATGAGAAGCTGAGTAATTACTACTTGTTAGTCACGAATTAGTGGTGGTGAAACAGGTGCTGTGTTGGAAATGTTTGCATGGGAAACAGGATGGGGAAAGATCATGTTTTCATGCTTTAAAAAAACTGTTTTTGAAAAGGCCTAAATTTTTAACTTCCCATTTGTTGTGTTCTTTCAGATTTGTTTCAGAAATGCTCCAAAGGAACGTAAGTAAACTTGTTTGCAGTTTGTTTTTGGATTACCTTTGTCTTAGCTGTAGGATTTGTTATGAAGCTGCTTGGCAGAGAATAATCTGTGTATGTTTGGCTTATCCTGTGCATGCAGAAGTGTTTTCCTAGAACTTCAGATTGGTTTCACAGTGAACCTGTCAGCTCAGCTCAGTAAGGTTGGGCACATTTTGCTTTCTCGGAGGTTTTCTCTCCCTCTCCTCTGTGATCTTCTAATTCCATAGGACTGTTTTCTGCAGAGATAGGGGATAGCTGAGGCATGGTGTTTGTTGGCTATGTTAACGTTGGCTCTGGCCTGCTGTAGCCCCTGATGGGGTCTGACACACAGGTGGCATCCAGCCCCGATGCCCCTGCCACAGGCTGCCTTGGTCCATCTATGTATGTGTGGCATGTCACATGCCTGCAGGCCCTCAGCCAGGCACCCCCCTTTGCAGGCCTTGCAGCTGTTGAGCCTATGGAGGCAGAGCTGTTTCCTGCCCCACCCCAGCAGGCCGGTTCATGGTTCCACAGTGCAGGCTCTTCAATTGGCAAGCCAGACCCTTCCCTTACCATTGTTTGAAGTCTGATTGGAAACCATACAGAATCTGAAAATATCTTTCAATCTAACCTTGGAGACTTAGGTGGAGCTTGGTGGATCCTTATTCTCACCATCCCTCTATGAGGTCTTCTTTCCTGCTCAGATACTCACCTCAGGTGACATCAGAGACAGTTCTGCAACAAACAGCTTTCAGGGGTGCATGGTGAGCATACCTCCCCAGGATGCAGAAAGGGGCATAGGCCACTGCCTCACCCCTAGTCTCCCCCGCCCTCTCCTTTGAAAGTTCTCCTTCTGCTTCTCTATTCTTTTCCCAAAGGCCGCCAGAGTAGGTCTCAACTAAGCTTTTCTGTGGATGTGGAGCAGCAGGTGGCTATCATTTGGGACAAGATCTTCCATTGGACTTGGTGCTACGGAATGTACTCTCCTGTGTCCTTAACCATGAGCTGTCTACATGAAACCCAGCACTTCCAGCCAATCTTAGAAAGGAGGAGTGTTCCCAAATATCAAGATATAAAATCGCCTTGTTGTTTAATATGCTACACATTCATGATACCCATAGTTTCCTTATCAACTCTTGTTGATTATTTCCAGTATCCTAGAGTGAAGCCCATAGTGACACCACGTTTTGCCCTTTCCTGCTCTGAGAGGTTGATGAGTGAACTTGGAAAAATCGCAAAGACTCACGATTTGCACATTCAGGTAGGTATTTTCCTCCTGTTCATGCCTCTGTCCAGACCTGGAAGATTTTTCAGTATCCTGCATTCTGGCAGTGATCTCCAATTCTTCTACCGAGATCTCCTAGAGATACAGCATTATGGCCTTTACAGATGTCATCTAAATGCACTTTAATTTTTCCATTAAGAAACGTGAAGTTTCTTTTCCTCTCAGTGGTTCCTGATCAAGAATGCAGAAAGGAGGCCACCATAGGCAACTCGGCAAGCTCCATGACAAACTGGTTACTTGTCTGTAGGATACGTTTAATGCATTTCTTGTCTACTTCTCTTGCATTTGATGTTTTCTTGGCATTCAAGTCCTTCACGTTTGAGAGAAACACCTATTACTTAAAAAGCAATAAGAACCTAATTTCCACCTTATAAAATGCACTTAAATGACCCGTTGTTCCAAGTTTCTTAATTTCAAATCAGGAACAAAAAAGTATGTTTTACTTTGTCATTAAGCAGTTGTAATTTAGGAGCAAAACACTTTTTAAAGCTTCCAACTGGATTAAAATGGGAAGTTGGGAGCTCCTCTGCCTGGCCCCCTGCACAGGCCTAGCTTCATTACTTACTGTACGAAAATGTCCTCTCTGAGGAATTGGCTGTCTTATAACAAAGGGCAAGTCAGGGGAAAGGCAGCACATTGATTCTTTATCATTTGTTGGGTGGAGGGTGTTTTCTGTTTTCTGAGATTTACCTTGATAGGGCTTATTAATGGTTCTCATCTTTGCCCATTCTCTTTTTCTGTTCGTTTTTTGCCATCTGTGATACTTGAATGTTTGTTTCAATCCCACACAGTTGTAGGGGAGAAAAAGTTTTCCACAACCTTCTTAGGGTATTTGTCTGGGACTGAAAACTAAACTAACAAAGATAGATTAACAGAAGAGAAGCAGGCAAATATATTTAATGTAAGTTTTACATAATGGAGCCTTCACAGGAAATGAAAGCCCAGAGAAACAGTCAGACCTGAGTGGTTTTTGCTAGGCTTTGATGAAGAATGCATGGTCTAAGCTGAGGAATAGGAGGTAAGTGTGGGAAACTTAGCGAGGCCTGTTTGTTCAGATTCTTCTTGGCTCCCTTTGTCTTCAGAGACAAGGATGCTCCTGTCCTCTGGGTGTAAGGCGGGCACCTCTCTCTGTGGCTGTTATGACCTCTCTCAGGGCAGGCAGGGTGGGGGCAGGGACCCCCAGAGTAACCTTTCTGCTTCTTCCACTCTCAAACTCCTTCACTTAATAGGGCGTTTTTCAACTTGTCAAGATGCCACATTTGGGGGTAGTATGTCCTGAACCCCATCCACACACAACAGAAGCAAGTACATCCTTGCTGGGGGTGTGTGTCTGTATGAGTATATATATGTATTTACTCAAATTTATCAAAATGACACAAATCATCTGGTTGTCCTTTCCTCTCATCTGATGCCCATGCATTTCTTCAGTGGTCGGGGCTTTCCCCAAGCTCATCCCAGAGGGGGAACACTGTTTTTGAAACATTGCTGGTTTTTTTTTATTTATTTATTTACCTATGCATACTCTACCTCACAGAGAGATGGAAATGGCATTGCAATTCTTGGGAGTGGTAACTTGCTCATGAGTTTTTTCCCCCATAATATCTATTCACCACCAGAGGGCTAGGTGTGTTACACTTAAGCGTTGTGACTCAAAAACATGATGTGCTCTCAGGTTTTGCGGTGCCCAGAGAAAGACTGGTGTGGGAGCTGGGACCCGTTCGCTCTGCTTGCATGTGGATTTTTATGGGCTCTTTCTAGATGACTGCAGGATTGTCTAGCTTAGTTATTTTCCAGTTATTTTCTCCAGAAGAACTCATTCTGGATTCAAAAAATGGGACTGAATAGAGACAGGTTTCCAGAGTCCCAACCCTGCCTCATCCTGGGAGGTGACTTGTTTGTGTCTTTTACATAGTAGATCTCTATGAATTTTTAGCAGAATAACATCCAAAGCTAAAAGAATTTGGAAAATTACTTATCAAACTTTTTATTTGAGAGATGGGGAAGTAGGGACCCAAAGAAAAGAAATGACTCACCCTAAAATGCCTAACTAGGGTCAGAACTTTGGCTAAAATTCAGCTCTCTTTATTCAAATTCCCCTGAACTCTTTTCTTAAGTGGCCAATACCAGGAGAGGTAGGTGGGCAAAAAGTTAGGCTCTTAATTCTCTCCAGGGAATACTTTTTATTTTTGTGTGTTCTTGCTATAGTTTGGAATTTGAAAACAGTTTGTTGGAAGAATATTACACAGGTTAGAACATTACATTTTTGTCTAATTACATATTCATAGTTTCTTCATATGATTATTTTAAATAAAACACATGTACAGTCTTCCTTGCCTTTCTATGTGGTACCTCACATGGGCAGGTGGAAACCATACACACCATTTTGGGGTAGGAAGTATAATTTCTAATGGCATTTTATATTAAAAAATTGAAAATATTATTTCTTTTCTTGCAGAGCCATTTGAGTGAAAATCCTGATGAAGTTAAAGCTGTGGAAAACTTATACCCCAGTTACAAAAACTATACAGATGTGTATGATAAAAACGGTCTTCTGACCAATAAGGTAAATTGCACATCATGACACAGCTGTGTCAGATAGGGCACGCGTACCTAAATTTCAAATCCCAGCGGTGCTCTTCAGACTTCTGTGACACACGTGTGTTTCCCAGGCTAGAGTGAAACTCAGAGTGTGCGAACCTGTGTGTGTGCATGGTGTAAAACGGGCCTGAGCTTTCCCAATAAATAAATGTAAAGGCTTCACTGAGGGTGGGAATGTCATTTGGTCCAAGGACATTTTGCTGGTATTTATTAAAATGTAAATGTGCATTCCTTTGAGTCAACAAATCACTTCTAAGGATCCATCTGTGAAGACTATGAATAGGGATGTTTATTCCATATGAAAGTGAACAAATGGCTCTCATCGGGGATTGTTTAGATTATAGAACATACATGATTAGAATTTTATCCAACATTCACAAAGCATGAGGCATGCAGGCTCACCACGTCATTTGAGGCGTGTGCACACAGGCGTGGGCGCAAGCTTACTCAGAAAAATGTGTCCCACGGATGCACATTAGATGTTCAAGGTGATTCTTCCTGAGGAAGAGCAGAAGGACTTTTCCTTTTTATTTTTCAACACTCTGAGATTGCTTGTATGAGTGTGTATTGTCTTTATAATCAAACGTTTTGAAGTAATTAAAATTAATATGAGTGAGGAGAGACCTCATTAGAACAATCTGCCCCTTGGCCTTGACCTTCAATGAAATGTACAAACGGCAGGAAGAATTTAATGATGGCAGCCAGTAAATTCTTAGGAACTTTGTGAATGGAGATGTGAATGTGACTGATTTGAAAGGTTAATATTCAGCATAAATCTTATAAATGCTACACCTTAATCTTCATTCTCCATTACATATATTTACATATGATTAATAAATTAACACCATTTGCATGCTAATTTGATTTGCACAGAGGTTAGGAGAATTGTACTGTAATATTGTACAATATTATTAAAATTGTATTTTAATAATAATTCTGTGGCCACCCAGGCATGCCTCCCAAAGGAGAAAGCTGTTCAAATTCAAGTTCTGTACTGAGGGGAAAAGAATTCTGAAAGAGTGAAGTCTTATTCAGGAAAAGCCGCAAATATTACCGAGACTAAAAATTAAGAGAAGTCTCTTATGTGGGCAGTGCCTGCCTTCTGGGATCAGTTTTGATTTCTAAGTTTATGCTTATAAAGGTATTACATTTCCTAATTTTTATGGAAATGTAAATATAGGTGATGAAATAACTAAAGTGTGTTTGGGTGTGTGTCACAACCATGGGCGCCTCTAACTAGGGCAGAAATAAAGAACAACTCTTCCCAGGATTCCATGTACTGAGAAAGGAAAGCTGACTTCTAGAAAGTTTGATTAAAATTAGAATAAGCACAGCCCCACCAGATGTCCACTAGATTTAGAAAAGAAAGTAACTTGGTTGTTTTCTAAAGTAGAGATGAAAGAGTCATAATATCTTCAAACTGGAGGGATGTCCTACGCTGTAGATGACCTGGATCAACCCTCCTTATTTTATAGATTTAAAAAGTGAAAAAGATAAGATCTATAAACTGGTGGGTACTTTTTGTAATCCAATGTTCTTATAGGCTTTTTCTGAGATGTGACTTGTTCCGAGTGATTTTACACAGACAGGTAATCATGTTCTCAAGACTGTGCTAACAGGCATCTCCGTGTACGTGCTGACAGGAACAGATGTCACAGCTTCTATGTGTACCTATAATGTGCTGTTGTGAGTGAGGACTAACTTAAGCCTTTTTAAGTGATAAACTCCACACAGGACACTCTTCTCTCCAGACAGTGATGGCACATGGCTGCTACCTTTCCGCAGAAGAACTGGATGTACTCAAGGAAAGAGGAGCATCGCTCTCGTTTTGTCCCAATTCTAACATATCGTAAGTAGGCAGTTATTGATTGATAGATCATGAATGTTTGGGTTACAAAATAGCAGCCTTTGTTTTCTCTGTCATTCCTCTAGTATCTCTCTTCTATGGTTACGTTTGATTGGGACAAGGACTAAATAGACAACTACCTTTGCTGTAGTGGGGAGAAAGAGTACAAAACAGGACTTTTTTTTTCAGAGGATGCATTTGAAGAGCACCACATCTCTTAAAATTTCTGAGTTTACAGAAAACAGGAACTTGGAATAACACCAGAAAGAGTTCAAAACCAATAATATTCAGAATTTCAGACTGATAGGGGCACATGTGCCAGCCAGCTGTTCAGGGAGAGGGGGCTGACTTCCCATTACTTTGTGCTGTGCAAGCTACTGGAAACAGATGGGTGGAGACAATGCAGTGCTACTGGGAGCCAGCGTGCCACACACATTATACAACCTGCTGGATCAGGCCGGATGCCAGTTCAGATCAAAGGGACCTTGCCCTGTTATAGTCCACCAGAATGCAAAAGCTTTATTTATAAGTTTGCATTGTGAAAGGTTAAATATCCACAAGTAAATCTGATGAAAGTTATGGCCTGGATCTTCAGAAAAAAAGCCCAGAAATAGAAACATACTGGAGCTAATTTCAGGGAATTGATAGACGCCATGATGCTGTTCCATGGGTCGAGGATTTATGCTCCTGGGTTAGAGACAGAGAGGAGCTCTCATTGCTGGTGTTAGTCATCCCAGAACAGAGCTGCTTCCTCTTAGAGGCAGAGTAGGTGGATCGTTCATATACTCATCGAATACATTGATTTAGCTTCTGCTAGATTTTAGTTTTTGAAGGATTACTTTGTGTTTTCTTTTTTCTTTTTCTTTTTTTACTGTGTTTTATTTTGAGTTCTTGCAGAAGTAGACCACAAGACAAGGGCTTACACACAAGTAGTTTATTGGGTAGGTGAGCCCAGGAAGCACCTTTAGTGCTTCCAGGTAAGACAGGAAGTCAGTAAAGAGTGCATTATTAACCGAGTTACCAGGAGGGGGTCCTGAAGTTTAGTCCTTCTGGAGAACTCAGGGAGCCAGTGTACAAAGCAGACCTCCAAGTCATTCTGCTCAAGGGATGTGGGAGTTGGGATGGTTATATCCACACATTCATCAGTTATTGTTGGGCAACTGCTGGGTGGGGCAAAGAGGCATTGATTCCTTGGGGCTTCTGACCTTCCCCAAACCAGGGAAGAGCAGGTTCTAGAAGCAGAAGTGAGCCCTTGGCAAAGAGTTGGAGATGCTGGCAGTTAGAAGTCCAGTGACTTTGTGAATGAAAAAGTTATATATCAGTGTCAGTATGACAAGGGCACAAGAGGCACAGTGATTTATTTCTGGAGTGTTTCCAGGGCCTTCCAGTTTTCTGATAGAGAGTGGTAACACAGAACAGAACCCCTGCCTCTGTTCAGGCTAGTGACCATAATTATGGTCTGGTGGCCAGGTAGGGGAAGGGTTTAACATCCCTTCTGTTAGTTACACAACATCTAAATTAAAACAAGATCCAAATTAAGGTTTGAAGTTAAGTTCTTTATAGATACATTTCTGTTTAAATGGTCACTGCTATTCTTTCTTTGACAACTTTGAGAGATTTACTGTGTGTATATTGAGGCTTTGAAAATGACAGTTATGTGCGTATTTCAGCAGACCACTTTGACCTTTGCATCTTTTCAAACTTCTAAGGGTCCCTTTATTCTTCCTCTATTTCCTTAGAAAGGGCAGCATATCTATTAAGCTCAGGGTCACAAGGTCCAGAATTCAATTCAGGAACCATCTGTTCTAGCTGCTACTGTCCTCAGCCGCCACATTTGAACTGTCAGGCCTGGAATCACCAGCCTGCACCCCGTTCCCCAGTTATACCCCCCTTATTTTATCTTGAAAGTTGCTGCGCATTCAGGGTAACAGATTATTCCAGATGAACAGGAAAGACTATGCTTTATAATTTCTACTTCCTAACATAAGAGGATGGGTTGGTTAAGAACATAATAAAGATGGGTAAGACTTTTAGGCTGATTGTAAGATTTAATTTCTTCATTTATCTTTCCTCACAAATGATCCCCTGCTTTCCATTTTTGCTCTTGCTTCTCTGTGTCATCCTAAGATTAAGCTCAGTGAAAAGGTTCGAACTCCTTTACGATCTATTTTTACTGCAGAACTCGATGGTCTGATTTGCGAATGTGTGTGTGTGTGTGTGTTCACATTAGAGCTGATGTGATGGAGAACACCGTTCAGTGATGTCACTATCACCATTGTTGGTGTCCTTCTGTTGGACCCACGTAGGTCTCCTTGTTCTGACAGTCTCCTCTCTCTTCAGGATCCGCAGCGGCTTTCTCAACGTGGTGGAAGTGCTGAAACGTGAAGTGAAAGTAGGACTGGGTACAGGTTAGTAGTCTCCTGTTTGGAGCCGCAGCAAAGTGGCTGATGAAGTGCATAACTTCCTAATGTGACTAATTTTCACATTACAGTTACATGCTTAAAAACTAGTTCTATTTTCTGATACTAATATCTTGAGCTAATAAAACAGTGAGGTTGGAAACAAGGGAAGACACTTTGATGTCATTCACCTTCTGAAAGCTATTATTTGTATTTACTATGAAGGGTAAGTTCTTTTCAGGTGTTTCAGAGATTGTTTATTAAGAGTCCTTGATTTTTTTTTTCTCTCGCCTTGGCCTTCTGGCTAGTTTTTAATAGTGTGGATTTGTATGATTTTAGTTTTCTATAAGTGTGCCATCCCACATACTGTCTCAAAAGAAAATGGTTTGGCCTTGCTGTACATAGTAAGCACCAATTCAATCCATGCCAGCATTGAGAACTCTGAGTTATGTTAAGTACTTGCTATGCATTTAAGCAGTGTTTAATAAAATGAGATTCCTTTTCCATGGGCAATCTGATGTTTGCTAGGCTGAAGGACATTCTCAGTAGCTGATAAAGTAATGGTGTCTTTTTTTTCATAGTACATTTTAATGATTTTTCCTGAGCATGTGCAGTGCTACTCGCTTTGAAAATGTGTGTTAGACCCAAATGTCTAGGCGTCTCCACTGTGAACCTGTGTTTATTAATGTGTATGAAGGAACTAAATGTTTTTTAGAAATGAGTGTGGACACAAGGACTTTTTTTCTATTCTTCATGCACTCGTGCCCCTGATCTTTAAGAGCATTGGGATACTTTGTTGACAAAGATGGTTATCATCATTTTCTGGAATAACTCAAGTCTCAGTTAACTTTATACTAAGTATTTCTTTGGTAAGACACACAATAATTCAAAGAGGTTTATTAATATTTTTAAATAGGTATGCTAATTTAGAAGTTTCCCCCAATTTTATGTGAATCAAAGACATTGAGATTTTTTTATATTCTAATTTAATATTTGAATCATTGAGATTGTGTAATACCTGGATAGAGTCACAGGTGGTAATGCAGGAAACCAGCCATTTTACCTTAACAAAAAAGCTTTAATGGATAAGGAAAGAATGGCCAAGAGTTTTTGTTACACAGTCTATTAATGAAAAATTTAGCAAATATGCAAAATAAGGTAGGTAGTGCTTTCAAATTTTCTGGGAGTTTTGTCTCTATAATTTAAATTCATCACATGACTTCTAGTTCTTGATTTTGGGTTGTATAGCAATGGCCTTAAACATTTAGGTAAAGCTTTAATTGTCATTTATTAGCTGCAAGATATTGAACAAATTAATTTTCTAAGACTTCATTTTCTAACTTCTATAACAATAACAATTGTAATCATATCTATCTTACGAGCTTGTTTTGAGGCCTCAATGAAAAAAGTTCTTCGGAAGTGGTTAGCACATATCTGACACATTGTATTGGTCAACAAAGATTGGCTTAAAAGGTAAAGGGCAATGTTGGTGTATTGACCAAATGTTTTATTAAATATGATGTATTTTCTTATTAAGTTGGAGAATGCATTTTACATTATCTCTGCCATGGTAGCCACTCTGTGTTCCACTATTTTCTAAAGAGGACCTTTGTGTATGAACTTACCCTTTACTTGTAGACTATAGAATATTATTTAACCTGATATAAGGGACAGAAAAACAGTTTCAAGAGCAGTTCATTTATCATATCTATAACAAGGGTAGGCATATCTGGACTTGCTCAAGTGTTAGAGGAAACCCACATGAAGCTTTACAACCTGAACTGCAAAACAAGAGAAAGCAGTATCAAGAAGAATAAACCATTTCTCTACGCAGTTTCTACACTTTAGTACTCATTCCCTTCTCCAGCATTCATGTTACTTAATTGGGTTTTTTAGCAACTGTTAAATTAGGTGATGTTGCTTCTGTTTTCTGAGAAAATTGAGATTCACAGGTAGTAAGTAATTGACCAAAGGTCAACAAATCAAAAAAGTTCCAGATCTACAGTCTAAAACCAGGTGAGTAAAATGTGATGTTCATTATCTCTCTTTTCAGCCCCTCACACTGCCTCTTGTTAGTTGATGAGGTAGGGATTCTGCCTTCGCTAAAATGTGTTGCAGAGGGAGGAGAAACCACCAAGCTCCCCATGCAGGGCACCGATCAGAAAGTTACTGTCACAGTGGAAATTCCAGGAAGAAAAGCTTGACTATGTGCCATGGTTTATGTAGCCCAGGGTTTATTCTTTGATCTGCACAGTATTGTTCCTTTGTTAATGTTACCACCAGAAGAAGAAGACAGGATGAGTAAATCACGCTATAAGGCAGCAACATAATAAGCTCTGAAAATTTTCCCAATAAATTCCATAGCATTGTTTTTTCATCTCTCCTTATTCTTTTTATATGGGCAGTTTGCTGAGACACAGAGGAAAATGTGACTTTCCATAACATTTTGTATAACATGTTTTTATAACTGCAAGTATATAAATCTTCCGTGTTCATACAATCCTAATGGCCTTGCTTTTGTTTTTTTGTTTCCTCTCAGTCTTTAGCTGTTTAAGTCTTTATGTTCAGTCTTGAAATATATGTTCAGTCTTTATATGTTGTCATATCATATAGTGATAGAATTTTCATTTAACTTTTTCTGTTCTAGCAATAAAGAAAAAACAGTAGACAAAGTATTTCAAAGCTTAATGTGCATTATTCCTAAATCTCATTTGTTTTCTTAATTTGATGCTATGGTAAAATGAAGGTTTAATAGATGGCTACTAAAATGGACTAATAACTTAAGTAGATGTAATGACACTTGTCAAGAAAGTGGATGATCCTCAGGCAGTACTGTTCTGGTTGAAGAAAATTCATAAAAGTTTATCTAAGGACGTGGAAGACAGTGAACATAAAATTGAACATAAATTTAGGATTGTTACTTAATAAGCTATTACTTTTACAATATATATAGGCACTAAGAATTATATATATATAACTTTGAAGTGACAGAAAGGGCACTTGAAATAGAAGGTGTATTTTTTACCTATACTTTTCTCCTAATAAAACATGCTAACTTACTTGGCTTATTTATGCAAACCCATATAATAATTTCTATATTTGTTCTTGCTCTTCTAGATTTGTCAAAGGTAGTATTTCAATTTAAATATGAGGAACTTTATTTTTTTAATTAGGAAAAATCTCACTCCTCATCAAATGATGCCAACAAACATATAAAGCTGTCTACATCAGCATTGCTCACTTATATATAAATTTCCCAATATATATCAATTCATTCTAAAAGCTCTGCCTCTAAAATTATTATAAAGAAGTGCTTTCTTAATTTTCAAAGCTCTCATCTCAATTAGAATAAAGGCAGGACACATTATTAGAGCATAGAATTGTGAGCTTATTTTAAATCTCATGTTATTTAAATTATCTTTATAACTAGGCAGGCATATTTGACCAACTTCTGTGAGAATTTAGGGGATATTCAGAAATAACTTTTTCTTTTAATTTCATTAACCATTGGTCATTGCACTGGACTGAATTGTGCACTCCCCCCCAAAAAATGCTCTGTCTACCTAGAACATGTAAAAATGACCTTGTTTGGAATAAAGGTCTTTGCAGATGTAATAAAGGTGAGGAAATCATTCTGAATTAATGTGATCCCTAAATCCAATGGTGAATGTCTTATAAGAGACAGTAAAGGAGAGTCACATAAAGACCTGGGGGAGAAGGCCATTTGAAGATGGAGGCAGGAATTGGAGATGCACTGCCACAAGCCAAGGAATGCCAGGAGCCACCAACACCTGGAAGAAATGAGGAACGATTCTTCCCTAGAGCCTTTATAGGGATCATGGACCTGTGAACACTTTGATTTAAGACTTCCATCCTCCACAGCTATGACAGAATAAATTTCTACTCCTCTATGGCACAAAATTTGTGGTAATTTTTTGCAGCAGCCCTAGAAAACTAATAAAGGTGTACATTTGATGCTAATTGCATGTTTTGAATTCCTTTACATGTTAGCCTGTGTCTATTCTGTATTTACAGATAAGATATTTTATTCGAAGTATATTAAAGACTGAATATCTGTCACTAAAAACAAACAAAAACTCAACCTATTGAGGGATACAAACTGGTAGCTACAAAATAATCATGGGGATCTAAAGTACAGTATAGGGAATATAGTCAGTAATATTACTATTGTAATAATTACGCACAGTGCCAGGTGGCTACGTGAAATGTTGGAGGGATCACTTTGGAAGGTATATGATCATCTAACCACTGTGCTGTACACCTGAAACAGTGCAAAATAACATTGAATATAAGCTGTAATTGAAAATTAAAAAAAAACATATATACTTAATACTCCATTTGTCTCACAAGGTTACTGTTTTGGCTTTATTTTGTCTACCATAGATGTGGCTGGTGGCTATTCACCTTCTGTGCTCAATGCAATCAGAACAGCAATGATGACTTCCAATATCTTTTTAATTAATAAGATCAATACAGAAGGCCTCACCTTTGAAGAAGTATTCAGACTAGCTACTCTTGGAGGCAGCCAAGGTAATGACTATTTTTTGTCTAACAATAGACAACCATGTCAATCTGTGTCCTTGGATGCACCATGAAGAACATGATAATGGTATCAACAGGAATCCAATATTCATGATTGTTGCATCTCACATAGCAAACCCAAAATTAGCAAGTCAAGTATATGTTCAAGCATGTAGTGGAGGAATAGTTGTTTCAGCAAGCTCTCTGTCTTTGGAAGAGGAGATGTTTGATACGCAGTTGCCATATTAATTATTTTAATGGATAGTTGCACTGGTCACATGCATACAAGTTCTTTAAAATAATCAGTATTACCATATGATCTCACCTTTAACAGGAAGCTAGACAACAAAACAAACAAGCAAGCAGAATAAAAACAAAGACACTGAAATAGAGAACAAGGGGACAGTGACCAGAGGGGGAAAGGGAATGGAAATTAAGGGGAAACAGGGGGAGGGATTTGGAGGAACAAGTATGAAGGACACAAGGACAAGAACTAAGGGGAGTGGAAATGGGAGGGAGGTGGGGAGCATGGGGTGGGGAGCTTGGAAGGGAGACATAGACAGAAAACTGTACTTGAAAAATAAGTAAATAAAATTTTTTAATAAATAAATCACTTATGTAATAAAAAAATAATCAGTATTTCCATTGAGTCAGGTAACACTCTCTATTGGCCTCAGTGAAGATAACGATAATAATAGTAATGTAAAAATAATAGCCAATAGCTCTACTGGTGTGGTTCAGTGGATTGAGCAGTGGACTGTGAACCATAAAGTCTCTGGTTCGCTTCCCTGCCAGGGCACATGCTTGGGTTGTGGGCCAGGTCCCAGTTGTGGGTGAGCAAGAGGCAATCAATGTTTCTCTCACACATTGATGTTTCTATCCCTCCCTTTCTTCTGCCCTTCTCCTCTCTCTGAAAATAATAAGTAAATAAAATCTTGTAAAAAATAGCCAATAGTTCTTACTCTATGATAGGCACTATGCAACATGCTTTATACATGTTACTTATTTGACAGCCACTGTTATTAATTCCATTTCATTAATGAAATTCCATTGCATTAATTCTATTTCCATTACATGTTACTTACTTCACAGCCACTGTTATTAATTCCATTTCATCAACATTAATTCCATTTCATCAGGTGCCATTTCAAGGCGCCTGATGGAAGCATACACAGCTGTCAAACCATAGAGTGCCATGATCTGAACCTGAAATCTGATGCCAGAGTGAAAGTTCTTACCTTCCCACTGCGATATCTCCATGTATAAATTCCAGGTTGGAGTATGTGCTTTGTTTATATAATTAAGCACACTAATTACTTAGGTCCTTTTAAGTGGAGAATAATGTCAAAATATAGTTGTTTCATATGCAAATATTATTCACCAGCTTTTCCCAATTCTCACATGTAACTGTATTTACATGGAAAAAGAAATAGGTAATCATATTCCTTTCAGTCACATTAGTATTACGGTGCAGTCTAGGCGGATAATAGTGAACATAGCATGAAATCTTAGGTAGCTAGTGAGAAATAAAGTCATATGTATGGAGACAGATGTAGATATATATGTAGATTTATGATAGATACCCTGGGTCTTGAAAAATGGAGAATGATGGAGACCAAGAATATCCTTGGAAGAGAAACTTCCTAGCTCTTCTTTGAAGGTTCTGTGCTATGATGGAGGCTGTAAAGAACCTTTACTTTTTAAAAAAAATTTTAGAGAGAGAGAGGAAGGGAGAGAGGGACAGACAGACACACGGACATGGATTTATTTTTTCCACTTATTTATGCATTCATTAGTTGCTTCTTGTATGTGCCTTGACTGGAGATCAAACCCACAACCTTGGCATATTGGGATGATGCTAACCAACTGAGCTACCTAGCCAGGGCATAAAGAACTCTTCAAGAAAAACAAGTAAAGGTTGTGTTGTTTGCATTTCCAAGACATAGGATTTCCAATTCATAGGATACGTGAAGTTCCATGTTTTATATCACCATTCTTTTTTTTTTCTTTTAAAAAAAATTTATTGTATTTTTCCATTACCATTTAACCCCCTTATGCCCCTCCCCCCTATAATCACAACACCGTTGTCTGCATCCATGAGTCATTTTTCCATTTTTACTCGATCCTTCCTCCCCCCTAAAGGAGATTATTCTTTTTTTTTCTCGATAATTTTATTTAGTTATTTTTCAAGTACAGTTTTTTGCCTGTTTCTCCCATCCCAGCCCCCTCCACCCCATGCTCCCCACCTCCCTCCCATTTCCACCCCCCCCACCCAGTTCTCATCCCTGTGTCCTTCATATTTGCTTCTCCAAATCCCTCCCCCTTTTTCCCTCTTAAATTCCCTTCCCTCTCCCCTCTGGTCGCTGCCCACTTGTTCTCTATTTCAGTGTCTTTGTTTTTATTCTGTTTGCTTGTTTGTTTTATTCTTTAGCTTCCTGTCAAAGGTGAGATCATATGGTATTTGTCTTTCAATGCCTGACCTATTTCACTCAGCATAATGCTTTCCAGTTCCATCCATGTTGTTGCAAAGGGTAGGAGCTCCTTCTTTCTCTCTGCTGCATAGAATTCCATTGTGTATATGTACCACAATTTTTTGATCCATTCGTTTACTGATGGGCACCTAGGTTGCTTCCAGCTCTTGGCTATTGTAAATTGTGCTGCTATGAACATTGTGGTGCATAGGTTCTTTGAAATTGATGTTTTTGGGGTTCTTAGGATATAATCCTAGCAGTGGAATTGCTGGGTCAAAAGGCAGGTCGATTTTTATTTTTCTGAGAAAATTCCATACTGTTTTCCATAATGGTTGTACCAGTCTGCAATCCCACCAGCAGTGAACTAAGGTCCCCTTTTCCCCACAACCTCTCCAACATTTGTTGTTTGTTGCTTTGTTTATTATAGCCATCCTGACTGGTGTAAAGTGGTATCTCATTGTGGTTTTAATTTTCATCTCTCTGATAGCTAACGATATTGAGCATCTCTTCATGTGTCTCTGGATATTCTGTATGTCCTCTTTAGAGAAGTGTCTGTTCAAGTCCTTTTCCCATTTTTTAATTGGGTTAGATGTCTTCTTAGAGTGGAGTCTTCAAAGAGTGTAAGTTCTTTGTATATTTTGGAGATTAAATCTTTGTCTGAGGTATCATTGGCAAATATGTTTTCCCATACAGTTGGTTGTCTCGCTAATTTAATACTGTTTTCTTTAGCCACGCAGAAGCTTTTTATTTTGATGAGATCCCATTTGTCTATTCTTTTCTTTATATTCCTTGCTCTAGGGGACATATCTTTAAAAATGTTGCTGTGTGAAATATCTGAGATTTTCTTGCCGAAGTTCTCCTCTAGGACTTTAATGGTGTCACAGCTTATATTTAAATCTTTTATCCACCTTGAGTTTATTTTGGTGTATGGTGTAAGTCTGTGCTCAAGTTTCATTTTTTTGCATGTAGCTGTCCAGTTCTCCCAACACCATTTGTTGAAGAGGCTATCTTTACTCCATTTTATGTTATTGCCCCCTTTGTCGAATATTAATTGACTGTAGAGAGTTGGGTTGATTTCTGGGCTCTCTGTTCTGTTCCATTGGTCTATGTGCCTGTTTTTATGACAGTACCAGGCTGTTTTGATTACAGTGGCCTTGTAATACAGTTTGATATCAGGTATTGTGATCCCTCCTACTTTGTTCTTCTTTATCAAAAGTGCAGCTGCTCTTCGGGGTCATTTATGGTTCCATATAAATTTTTGAAGTGTTTGTTCTATGTCTGTGAAATATGCCATTGGTACTTTAATAGGTATTGCATTGAATCTGTATATTGCTTTGGGTAGTATGGACATTTTGATGATGTTAATTCTTCCAATCCATGAACAAGGTATATGTTTCCATTTGTTTGTGTCTCCCTTGATTTCTTTCTTCAGTGCTGTGTAGTTTTATGCATACAGGTCTTTTACCTCCTTGGTTAGGTTTATTCCCAGATATTTTATTTTTCTTTTTGCTATATTGAATGGGATATTTTCCTTGATTTCTGCTTCTGCTGATTCATTGTTAGTATACAAAAATGCCTTTGATTTCTGGATATTGACTTTGTGTCCTGCTGTTTTGCCAAATTCATTAATTAGTTCGAGCAGTTTTTTGGTAGAGTCTATGGGATTTTCCATGTACACTATCATGTCATCTGCAAACAGTGACAGTTTTGTTTCCTCCTTTCCTATTTGGATGCCTTTTATTTCCTTTTCTTGCCTAATTGCTGTGGCCAAAACTTCTAAAACTATATTGAATAGAAGTGGTGAAAGTGGACATCCTTGTCTTGTTCCTGATCTTAGTGGAAAAGCTTTTAATTTTTGCCCATTGAGTATGATATTGGCTGTAGGTCTCTCATATGTGGCCTTTATTATATTGAGGAATGCTCCCTCTATTCCCACTTTACTGAGTGTTTTTATCATAAATGGGTGTTGTACCTTATCAAAAGCTTTTTCCGCATCTATTGATGTGATCATGTGGTTTTTGTCTTTGCTTTTGTTTATGTGATGTATTACATTTACTGATTTTCGATTGTTGAACCAACCTTGCATCCCTGGGATGAATCCCACTTGGTCATGGTATATCACCCTTCTTTTAACAAATGTGCTGCTCCCCAATCCCACCACTACTGTGTTTGTGCCTCTGAGTTCAAGCAGTTGGCCAACCATCTTATTTTCATGGTGCAAAAGAGATGTATTTACATAGTGCTGCTTAAAAAAAATTCTAAGCTCTCTGTGACTTACTTCATGAGGATTCTGCGTCTGATCAAGCTGGCAGTATGGGGGACTTACCAAATGATTTCTACTTTGTATAGCTTTCAAATCTATTTTCTGGGCTGCTTGGCTTAGTGTTAATGGAATTTCTTCTTCACTCGTGTCTCTACTAGAGTCTGAGTAAAATGACATGAATGGATCCCTGTTTCAAGTGTGGCCTCTGCCCAGCTTGCCATGACCTTTATATTCAAGATATGCATAAATGACCTTCACAGAGCCAACATTTGCTCCAAAGGCAGAAAAATGGTGTTTTCTGAAATGCAGTGGAGTTGCTTACCAGCTAGGCTAGGCCTTACTGCAATAATTTGAATTTAGATCAAGTTACAAATTCATCAAAAGCAATTGTGTCTTTTTTGGTTAGTGTATGCCTGAACTCTCCATGTTCTAACAAATAGCTCAGTTAGTTTATATACGACCAAACTCTGGCGAATGAACCTGGTTATCTGGCCTATTAAATACACAACAATTTTATGTTGAATACAGTCATTAAAAACGTGTACTTGTCATGTGCCTTTGTCAAGGGCCAGTGGGCGGAAGAGGGCATTTCCAACAATTTTCTATTACAGTCAGTTCTTCAATACACAATCAGTAGAAGTCACCTAACAGCTTTTAACATTTCTAATTATTTTTGAACCCCTGTCTTCCTATAAGAATTCTCTAGCTAAAAATATTTTCTTTTCTGAGAATAAAATAGTTGCCTTTTAAATAGCCTTTTAAGAATAAATAGGATTTCTAAGTCAGTGATTAAAGCACTGCCAAAGACTTCTGCATATCTGTATATAGAAATATAATGTACCAGATATTGTCTCTCAGGAATATGCCATCCAATATTTTCACATTGGACCATACCCCAACAGCGATAGAATACAACAAACACATGTAAAAATTTAAATAAATAATGCCACACTCCAGTTGGCCTTCTTTATGCGTGCTTCCATTTGGTACATCATTGTGTACCTTACTCAAATTCCTGGCTTTACTGAGCTCAAGATTCAATAACTTCATTGACCAGGAAAGCCAACTACACCCATCTTTTGAAACTAAATCATATACATGAATGAAATGTTCTTCTTGCACATTTAATACTCATGGAACATAAATTTTAGCTATGAGATGGATCAAATCAATAGACATTATTGACCTATGTTCTATTTTAGAAAACCATTCTTCTTTGGCAACCAGAAAAACATCTCTGAGGTTGCAAAGAAATTGGTCTGCTTTTGAAAGGATAGGAACTCCTATGTTATGAGCATGCATTTACTTTCAGAAGTGAATTTTTTCTATTCCAAAGATTTAAACTAAGGAACTTATAATGGATATGCCTGTGTTGGCAAATGTGCAGAGATAATTATTATTTATTTATATGAAGTTCATTTCATGGCCATGAAAATAGATCTTCTCAGCTATTTCATAGAACAAAAAGAACAAGGAAAGGAGTCGGAGTGTTGGTGGGGGGCAGTAGGAGGGTAAAAAGCGGAAGTTATTTTATCAGTTGTTGTGTTTCTTGGACGCATGAATGAAAGTCATAGACCAGTTGGATTGTGTAGTGTGCTGAGCTGAAAAATAGAGATACCATCAGAATTATGTTCATGGTGATGAAGGGAACTGTTTTTGTTCTCAGATTTTGCTTTCCCTTTGCTTACTCTGCTTTTCATAAGGCAAAGTCTTGTGACCTATCAGAATAAAATGCTTCACTATTAAGATACTAATTTTTTTCTAGTGACATGTTGGTAGACTCTGTCCTTGCAAACTGGGATATTGGCATGGTCTGATGACTCAAAATACTGACTGTTTATTAATTTACTCCACCCTGTAGCCCTGGGACTGGATAAAGACATTGGAAACTTTGAAGTGGGCAAGGAATTTGATGCCCTCTTGATCAACTTCAAAGCATCTGACTCTCCCATTGATCTGTTTTATGGGGATTTAGTTGGTGATGTTTCTGGGGTAAGTAAAAAGAAAAAAAAGGTTAATCAGAAAGTACCTATTTTATGAAGTAATCATAATAGCTTCCCTGTAGAAAGCAAAATAGAAACATTTTAAAAGAATGCAGGAGAATCTTAAAAGGAAAGCTAGATTTTAAAAAGTTATAATACCATATGATCTCATTTATATGTGGAATCTAACAAAATAAACAAAATCTAATGAACAAAATAAAACCAGAGGCATGTATACATGGAATAAACTGACAGATCTTGGAAGTGGAAGTCGGGAGGGGGGGGAACAGAATGAGAGAAGGGGAAGGAATTAGCCAAAGGATATATATGCATAACCCATGGACACAGACAACAGTGTGGTGATGGCCAGAGGGAAGGGGTGTTGGGGGTTGGGTGGAGGTGGGCAAAGGAGGGGAAAGTGAGGGTATCTATAATAGTACCAGTAATAAAAATAAAGAAAAAGGAAGGTATAATTGCATGACAATAATGTTAGCGATAATGGTACTAACAGAATATTTATATTTTGAATATATTTATATATTTGAATGTATTGGCTATAAGAAGCCATAATATAACTGGCCCTTATTGAATACACTTGCCAGGTGGCATGGCATTAAGCATTTTCATACATAATTTTTCTTTAATAATCAGAACAACTCTTACGAAAGCAGGTTCTATTGATTTAGCCATGTCATTTGTGGGGGAGTGAAGCTTAAGGGAAGTTAAGTGGTTTACCTAAAGGACTCATGACTCATAATTAGTAATTAGTAATTAGTAGACAGAGTTGGGATTCCAGCCCAGGACTTTATGACTTCCAGAGTCTGGACTCTTCACCACCTGCTACATTGATTTTCTTAATTATAAGAAAATGGGTTTTATTACTTTGTTCCTTTTATTATAAAATATTTCCCTATGTATAAAATAATAAGGTTCTTCTCACTTTAATAATAATTTGTTATAAGATGTTGAGTTATTCTAAAAAATTACCATTTATAAGTAGATCCACTTATAAAAGTAAATATGTAAATATAATATATTTAGGTTTTTTAGAAGAAAGATGCTGGATATTTGAGGTTGGTTATTTGTTGTTTTCATATTATTTATATTTTTACTTCTTTATTATAGTGGATTTCTTGGAATAGGGCTCAGTGCTATTAATCCAGTCATTTTTCTTATACACCTCTTAAAATATTTGCTTTATTTTATTAAATTAATTAATTTAATTTATGTAACACTTTTCTTCTAAGGATTTCAAGATTATATACCAAGAACTTTTAGGCAATAGATAAGCATTTGTTAATAGCCAGTATTTTTTTAAGTAAAAGACCATTTCTTTTTCATTAATCAAAGTAGATTTTACCATTTAGTAATAAATTTGTATTTTTGTGTTTTGCCAACCCATTATTGGCTGTGAGTTTACTTTTCTAAATGCACCAAATAATTCTTATTATTACTTTTATTTTCTATTTTAGGCTATTATCCAGAAGTTTCTCTATCTAGGTAGGTAGAAATACGTCTCTATGCTAAATAAAATCTTCCTTTGTCTCTATTTTGGGTATGACTCGCTGCCTTTATGATACCACATGTTAAACCCTGTGTGTGATCATTTACTTTGATTTTTAAAAAATCCTTCAGCACAGAACCCATTTATGGCACAACATTTAAAGACCTGACTTGAAATTTGCATGCTCTTCTAGCTCATCAGGCCTCTATGCTTATTCTCCACACCCAGGCTGCCCTACCGTGCTGTATTCGTGAGAAGGATGTGGTGGAGTCTCGTGGCAGAGGCTTCTTCACGTACTCACGGTCTATTGTATTCACTGAGGGGGAGAAATAAAGTGTAGAAGATGCTATTCTGCCTCCCACTCGGCTGAGTGAGCTCTGAGTCTTGAGTGAACTTGAATAGAAGAGACACGTGTTGTATTTCTCATGGAGCTCAGTTCTTGCAGGTCCTTTGTCTCACCGTGTCCAGTGTGATTCTGGGGCATAAAGATAAGTATTTCCTTTAATTGGGGCTGGAAAGGCAAACTACTCCAGTTGAAAGAACAGCGATGAGGGTCAATTCAACTTTATCTGATTTCTGATGTAGGTGCAGAATTCAGATCCCAATGCTCAAATTAGATGCAGAATCTTCTACTGGTCATGCTTCCCTGTCCATATTTTAAACAATCAGAGAGAGGGGGGGAAAAAAAAGTCAGCTTTTTATGTGTTCTTAGAAGTATGTTTTGCTTTTAAATCTCTCCCAGGAGCAATTAAACTACTTATTGACACGAAAGCACTTTATAAATGATTCCCCGATTTCTCTTTCAGGAGATGACCGAAATATTGAAGAGGTTTATGTGGGCGGAAAGCTCGTGGTTCCCTTCTCAAGCTCGGTCTAAGATCCTCGGCATCTCCGAGTTTTCCTGGCTAACGTGCTTCTGCGCCTCCCTTGTGTCCAGGAGGAGTTAGAAAGTCAAAAATTAGTACCTTGTTCTCGAGATGATTATCTCTTTCTATGTCTACTTAAAGTACTCGCCTTGACAAATCGAAGGAAGTTGTGCCGATTTTCAATTCTATGGTTGGGAGAATTCAAAATTTCTCCTTTTTGAGCTGTTCAGATTTACTTAGAGTTTAAACATAAGAATGTTATTACTAGTGCTGTTCTTCTTCTGAGATTTAAGTAAAATCTATTTCATATGTCGAAATGTGGAGAGGAAAGGTATTCCTAGCAGGTTAGGTATTTTGAGCTAATAACTGTGAAAATTAGATATGGAAAATGAACCAGTGAGTCTATTTTTACAAGGGAGAAAAAGTTAGACTATGGACAAACATTGAAAAATCACTTCAGATTGTTTGCAAATTATATACTGAGCCTACTAATTTAAAAGAAGAAGTTGTTGAGTTTTAAAACGTGTTTCCAAGACTGACTTTGTGTTCTGGACATTTGTGCTTAATGGAATTCGTATTTCAGCGATTTGTTATTGTTGTGCTTTGCCTTCTTTGGGGTGAATTGTCAGTGACCGAATGCCACATGCTTTCTTAATATAGTTCTGTGCTTCAAAGTGTTCAACAGAAGTTGGACATTAAAGATTTAGAGTCTCTTAGGAATATTATTCATATAGCTACATGGCATAAATGGTTGTATGTTTGTGTACCTTAAATCACCTTAACATATAACTGCGTGATGCTGTTATTACTTCAGTTTTATTAGAAGAGAAACAAAGTCCATCCTCCTCTGTTGTGTAGACTGAAGTCTTCATAAACTGGAGCAAGTGCTGGGCGTTCTGAAGCTGTCAGTACTGAGAGGGGGAGTTTCCTTACTATGATTTCTTCTCCCCAGGATCTAAGCCGTGGTTGCTGGCAATTTCATATTCAGATCAATCTGTTAAAACTTTCAAATGAAGGACAAATCCTATTGAAAGAAATATTAAAATCTTTAAACCCTGCCTATTGAAAGCACTCTATTTTTCAATTTTATCCTATTGTCTTTGTAATTCCTAATGGTTTTAGGGCATTGGAATTTTAGTTTAATGAAAAACATATAGGCATCTCACTTACTGTTTATATTAATAGGATTGACTCTGTACAAGATACCTAGAAACATTAAACAAAGAGTATTTTTTGTTTCCTAATTAGTGCTCTTTTCCATAACCTATAATTAAAAAAACAATTATGACTATGATAAATCCTTAAGAAATAGGGATGTGAATGATATTTAAGTACTATCTTTTTCTCATTTGATTCCAAATAATATAAACTAAGAAGGAAAAGGAGATTTTTCTTAATATTTCCTAACACTCATACCAAGGGCTTGGGTTTGACCTCTTATCATTGTCTTATAGTCAAAACTTTATGTTATGCTGCTAACTCCAGGTACACAGAATGAAGAAGAAAATTCTCCCTCTTGTACAATAATTTTTATTCTTACCTAATCATGCTAATTCAGAGATAATTTACTCACAATTTTTTTTCCTGCTGGAAACACTTTTAGATTTGGTCTTGTGTAACTACACCTATTGATAGAACACATTTTTGGTCTTTATTTTTAATAGCAGGGTTTTGGGACATTTAGTAACTCAGTAAATCCAGCTTCTAGTCTCAGTAGCTGTATTTCCAGAATTCCTAACTGCTGAGCCAAGTCAGAGACGGCCCACCGAACTTCTCCCCATTCCTCTTTAGTGCCAAGGTGTGTTTTCTGCTCTGTCTCTTGATCCATGTGGGAAGAAGTTAGTTTCCTGGTGGCTAACCCACATCATGAGTGAGCTTAAGAATTTGGAGGAGTCATTCAAGGTCCACTGGTAGGCAGCAGCTGTGTCCAGCCTTTAGAAGATCAGTAGTTTTACCTTCCTGAAGGTCGTCGTACATTTATGGCTGAACATCAGTTTGCATTTAGATTTAGTATTCATATGCAGTAAATATAAATAAGTGCAGTGTCGGAAACAGGAAAAATGGCCATATATAACAACCACTCTGTCAAATGTCAAATTGAGCCCTGGTAATATGTTAAAACTTAAGTGTCTTTTCTAATAAAAATGAGTTAGTTGTGATGTTTACATGTGCTTTGATCTTCCTGAATCACTTAGAACTAATGGGCTTTATTCTTCAAGTGTCATGTTCACAATGTTGCATGTGCTTTTGGCCACACTTTGGGCATTAGCTGTACACGGGCCCAGATGTCCTGCACTCTGAAACGTTGCCTTTGTCTGATGTGGGTTGACTTCTGAATTGTGGAGAGGCAGTATTCCAAGCCAATTCTATTTGTCACTTTGTGTTTGAATATTTTGCTCTCTGACAGGTAAGAAAAACTTAAAACTTCTAATTGGATTCCTCACTTCACCTTACATTATTTTGCCTCAGGTTTCATGGTATTTTTAATGGACTAAACTTCAAGAGGCCAAAATTTATTCAGTCATACATTTGAAAAATATTTTTGCAACCAGAACACAAAAGCAGGCTAATTAAACTCAGATAAATTTAATTTTCCAAAAGAGAGTAAAACACGGGGTAGGGGCATGAGAGGATGTCCTCGTTATGGTAAACTGAGGCCAAGGAGACTCTGCTCTCTTATTTACTCTCCCAGCTTCTCTGATTCCATTGCCAAGGTTTGAGAGTCTAAGAGAATATCTTTGAACACACTCTCTTCATGCCAGGAGGAGGTCTTTCTAATTTAATGTTGTGAGCATCAAAACCCATCAACTTTTTTTTTTTTTTTACTTTTGTGCGAATCCTGCACGGTTAGGAAAGGGAAGTGGTGGGAAAACACACCTGTTAGGTTTAGTTGCTTTTAAAGTGTGCCCTTGATTGGATGTTCATCTCAGCTGTTGGCAGCTACAGCTGAAATGTCAGGGAGGAGACGATGGGTGTGAGATCCAGTGACATATTTTGAAACTTCACTGCTTTCCAAACTCTTCCTGTTTTTAATCTCATCTCAGAACCAGATATACAGAAAGCCTTAAAGCCTTCCAGCTGAAGGCTTGCCGTGTCAGTCGACATGGAAGAGATCCAGAATCAGATGCTTCTTCTGGACATCTTTCCATTGTCTGTTCTTTAAAGCTGATGATGATGCAGAAACACTGAGATGTTCAGAAAGAGTGTTCTGAGTCACCAGAAGGTGAAGTACGTAATGTGTCATGGGCAATATCTTGACCTAACTTTTAAATGGTGAGGATTATTGTGAATTTTTAATGTTTTTTTTCCTGAAGGCTTACAAGAGACACTTGCAGATTCTGATTGACCTAGCCAGTTTAGGTACGACTTTGAACCCCAACACACTTGGGTGTCTCTAAAGGAAAAGCCCAGCACGAGGTGCACAAATGAACGGACACCGTTGGGAACCCAGGCACTGGTCCCCAAACGCGTTTTCATGCCTGGGCTCTCCTCCCTGTTTCTCTCACAGCTTTGAGGGTGAGAGATGAAGCCCTGAGGGTTTAGTTCTGGTTCAGATTTAGTGAAATGCAAAAGTTGACAGGCCAATGGTGAAATTAAACATAAATTCCAAGGTGGCTTCCCCAGTCCTCAGGGTTCAAGGGACTGAGTGCCACATGTTAGGTGGCAGTAACTTGCTGTCCTCTTCCCACTCAGAAGCCTGTCAGAAAGCATTCTTTATTGAAAAGCACTTCATGTCATTGTTAAACACCTGATTGCTGCTCTGGAGAATAAATAGATACGTATGTGTATGTATTCACGGAGACATTTTTTCTCAATATTTGTATGGTTTGCTTATTGTTTATGTGCAGAGTGAGCTCCTTTGTGCTTTGGGAAAAAATAAATGAGATTTTGTGTTTGATTATTTTTTATTGTTGTGAGTTCTATCAATATGAAAGAAGGGGATTGATCGTACAATGTTTTTTTTTCTTTTAACATGAATTAAAAAAACAGAAGTGGAATAGAATATTTAGCTGTGGGCCGACATATATCGTTCAGCCTGTCACAGTCACTATATAGAGCTTTGTAAAGTTAAGCTGTAATGTTCAGGCCTTTAGAATCAGATTGCTATTACTGCTTTTGATTTCACATAGCTTATATATATTTTTTTGTTTTGTTTTTGTTTTTTTAATTATTTATTTATTTATCTTTAGAGGGGAAGGGAAGGAGAGAAATATCAATGTATGGTTGCCCCTCGTGTGTCCCCTCGCTGGGAACTGGCCTGCAACCCAGGCACGTGCCCTGACTGGGGATCAAACTGTGATCCTCTGGTTCACAGGCCCGCGCTCAATCACTGAGCTACACCAGCTAGGGCCCTTGTATTTTATTTTATAAATACATATTTAAGCCACAATCCAGAGTGAGAATGTACTTGAACAGCAAAATTAGTTAACACATATATATGTACATGTGCATTTAAAACAAAAGTCTCAAAAATAATTTTTTTCCTATCTGTGATGCCCTGTGTGGGGGCGACTTTCCTTGCAAGTCCCCCATGTGCCACAGATGAGAGTAAACATGACTGAGACATGATGTGATCTGCTTGGGGAGGAAAGGTAGCTAGTTTCTCAGGGGAAACAAAGTCCAGGAGCAGCCAGTTTCTCAGAGGAAAAAAAAAGGGCCTTGAGCCCCTTCCTCCAGGGGCTTTTATTGGGTTGTAATACACAGGAATACAGGGTGACAAGGATCAAACAGTAGATAACATTTCAAAGAAATTTGAGGGCTTAGTGTGAGTCAGGGTCTGTCAGGAAAGAGGGTTGCAGAACTTTGGGGAGACAAAGTTCTCAAAGTTCATTTCCTCTCTGGCCCTTATCATATGAATGAAAACACTCTTAGCAAAGCAGGTTTCACAGGTTTATCAGGAAGTCTTTGTGATGCCAGATTTTTCCCCAGGACATGCTTTAGAAAGGCAAGGAGCTGCACCTCCCCACCAGGTATTCAGGTTTAAGGGGATTAGAGCCAGGAAGCGTTTCTCCCAGAGAACGTGGGGACTCAGGCTTTGTCCAGGCCGGGGGGGGGGGGGTGAGAATCCATTGCTCCCTCTTTGTCACAGCCTCCCCGAGTCCTTCCATGATGGCCTCCCAAGTGGTCTTGTGTGGCCTAGGTTGCCCCTCTCAGAGGGGTCATACCCATCATTGACTTCCACCATGCTTTGGGGGCAGGGAGAAAACTGAGGGAGAATTTGCTACCAGAAACAAGCTTTGTCTCCTGTGGCTCGAATTCCAAAGGTCACTTGTTCATCCTTAGCCACAGGGGGTAGAGAGTTACAATTGCTAAAACCAGGCAGAGCAGTCCACAACAGCTCTGGGCTATTTTCTATACTATTTTATTCTGTTCTGTTCTATTTTATTTTATTCTGGTTAATTATTTTTAGTTTCTTAAACCAGCACAGAAGCAATTTTCAATTTCTTTTGAGCTCTGTGCTTAAGTCACCCCAACTCCATCCTGTGACTTGGGCCTGATGTGAATGCCTGCTTTAGAGTCATGAGGAGTAAATAATATATAGCCAGTACTTCAGACAGCATCAGGCACAGAGTGAGTGGCCACTACATAGTCGTTATTTTTTTAATGAAAACAGACTGAACAAAAATAATTTTAAACATACTTTTTATCAGTCTATGTCTTAGAATCCAAATCCCATGATGTTACAGATCTCTCTCTATATAAAAATATTCTATAAGGATTAAATCTGATTTTTGGCACTATTATGTATGTTTTTATTTATGCATGAAGCATAAGAGAGTAGTAGATTTAGTCTATAAATTCACTCTTAATGTTCTGAGCAACTTACTAAGCACCTTCTTTATCCCAGATCAGACCAGATGAGGTGTGTTGCATGGCCATGGACAGCATCTTTTCTTTCTTCCTAGAGGACAACTTAGTTAAAATACCCTAAAGAGAATTTTTATGTGCATAATCTTGCAAAATGTGTGCCTAATTTACACATTGTAGGCACTGAATTCAACAATAGATAATTAATAGGCACATGCAATTTCTTGTGTAGTACTAAATTCAGAATTTAAATAAAATAAAAGTTTAGACATAAAATAAATACCTGCCAGAAGCAAAACAGGGCCTGTGGTAGGGTGTTTTAAGTTAAAGACACAGGAACCGCAAATGGTTGTCACCAACAGGAGCAGGGTTGTGTGTGTGTGTGTGTGTGTGTTTAATCTTATTTTAACATGGGATAAGGGCCCTGGCTAGTGTGGCTCAGTGGACTGAGTGCAGGCCTATGAACTAAGGGGGTCACCAGTTGATTGCCAGTGAAGGCACATGCCTGGGTTGCAGGCCAGGTCCCCAGTAGGGGGCGCTAGAGAGGCAACCACACATTGATGCTTCTGTCCCTCTCCCACTCCCTTCCCCTCTTTATAAATAAATAAATAAATAAATAAATAAATAAATAAATAAACGATTTTAAAATGGAAGGGAAGTATCCTGTTCTTTATCATGATAGAACATTAAAGTGTAATTAATTTTTTTCACTAATTCACACTCATTCACTTTTACCATTAAGCCTGCCTACGGCATCATAAAATTACATTAAATTTGCCATATTTCTATATTTTTATGATTCTATAGTAGTTGAATTTATATTTTGGGTGGAAAGAAAGGTTACTTAAAAAGCATTCTCTATAGCAAAATGTTTGTTGGGAAATTTTCCAATGTAACTCAGAAAAAAATTTATTTTTTTGCTTCAACATAAAAAGTGATAAAACATGAACAGATGACATGGAGTTTTGCTCAGGCCACTTGGACCCACTTCAGTTCCCTAGTTTCTGCCCATCCCTAGAGGAAATGAAGCAGACCCCCATCCCCCCATTTGTAGTAAGAGAGCCCAAAGTCAAAGCAGTCACATCTAAGGTAAGAGAAATAAAGGCCCTAGAAAGATCATCCTTTAATCCCACCACGAGAATTTCGTGGACAACTGCTTGAAAACTGACACTTGTAGCTGCACTGGGAAATTAACCTCTACCCTCCTAATCCTGGGCAGTCTCTCCACAGGAGACTTTCGTTTTATGCATGTTAAATAGAGCCACACCCCCAAAATGAACAACCCAAAGAAGAGTTTTACTCTTGCTTTGTTTTAATTTCTAAATTTGCTTCCTGGGATACCTGAAAGTCTTTAAACAGGTGTTTTGTTTCCCTTTTCCTGGAAATGTTGATTCCGTCCCCACCCGGAGTTGGGAACACAGGCAGGGATGGCTTTGTGGTCGGGAAGTACTTTGAAAACCTTGACTGAAGCACATAAACAGATAAAGATGCAAGGGGTTTGGGTCATTTCAAAGGATGAGTTAAGAGGCTCAGAAAAAGCAGAGTGTACCTTTCTTTCAACCCATGAACACTTTCATCTTGGCTGAAGTATGAGAAAGGAATTGAGCTAGCCAAATTATGTATTCTGGGTGAATTTGTATAACTGCAACAAACCTTTCAGCGTCGTAATCACGTCCTGCCTCAATGTCAGGTATGCTCTACATCCAGGAAATCTCCTGCTTATGAGCGATATACTATATACCAGAGTGTCACACTATATACCAGACACAGGCCAGTTTTGGCGGTTAAAAGCAACATTCATCCTTTGAGAACCCCAGTCTGGGATGGTAGGTAAGGGGACTATGCAGATGAATCAATATGTTAAGTTCATGGCAGACATATGGAAACCCAAGAGGACTCAGAGGGAAAGCTGGGGTGGGCTGGGCATTTTGCGAGTGGGAAAAACAAAGGGCAAATGATGTGGTGAACCTTTCTCAGAGGAAGTGACATCTCAGCTGGGAAGAATAACTGGAACTTATTTTCCATGTGAAGACTCTCAAACAGGTACTCTGAGCAGCATTCAGCATGAGCAGCAGCAACCATCATAAAGAAGTTGACCTCCGAAGAAGGTAAGAGAAGGATGAGGTGGACTAACCCAGGGACCATCAGGGTCACCGAGAGTATTGATTCAAAGTCTGCATTTGGGCCCATGAATCTGTTTTATGAACGAATACCTCGGTAAGGCCCAAAGTGGGTTATAGGGAAGAGGACCATGCTGGTGATGACAAGGACCAGGTGTGGTCATCAGCGTGCGATGCTGAAGAGAGAAGACCTGGCACTGGCTGAGGCCGGAAACTGTGAGCCTCGTGTGCCACACGGGCCATTTACCTGTGCATGGGGCAGACAGCTCATCAGCAACATTGCACGGCTGCACCTCAGCTGGTGGGGACAGTGGTGCTGGCAGCCACGTTCCTGCCACACGGGGAAGCCTGAGAGGGTGAACCTTGCCCATAAACACCGAGGGGCCTTTTCTGACTCTGAGACTGGAGGAGACAGAGGAGCCCCTGGGCAGGGCGACTCCCTGATCCCGACCCGAGATGCTGAGCCTGCCGTACCTCCCACCGCTCTGCCGCTTTGTAAGCTGCCTGGGTATCTGAGGTTGACTTGAGCTACTGCGAGTTTTGTTCCTGTCACCCACAAATCAAGGAGCCTCACTAAAACCCTCTCGAGGCTTTCCCTCCTTACGATGGCTGCATTCTTTAGAAACAGGTTATAACCTTTTTTCCCTTAAATAAATGAAAGAATGATCAAGAAAGGATGATCACTTCACCCGGTATTTGGCCACCTCCTCACCCCAAGCCTTCTCAGAGGCTCTGTCCTCCACATCCTCAGGGGCACCCGTGGCCTGACCCTGGCCCCCTCCAGGAACCCAGCACCCCCAACTCACCATCCTGCTGTTTCCCGTCAGTGAAGGTGCTGGGGATGAGTGGCTGGTGGCAGAGTCCCAGGACGTACTAGGAGAGTGAGATGTTCAAACAAGTAGATGTACACTGGTTGTATGAGGAAATGTCCATGTGTTCAGAAAATACATGTAAAAGCATTTGAGTGCCA